TGGTTATTGTCTAAGTTCGCTTTTTGTACCTGGTGACAGACACATTGTTGTTGGTACTAAGGTATTCAGCATTAGTGAATGTGACTTTATAAAGTAGTGAGACAATGTAAGGTCATGTGAGAGACACATTGTTGTTGGTACTAAGGTATACAACATTAGTGAATGTGACTTTATAAAGTAGTGAGACAATGTAAGGTCATGTGACAGACACATTGTTGTTGGTACTAAGGTATTCAGCATTAGTGAATGTGACTTTATAAAGTAGTGAGACAATGTAAGGTCATGTGACAGACACGTTGTTGTTGGTACTAAGGTATTCAGCATTAGTGAATGTGACTTTATAAAGTAGTGAGACAATGTAAGGTCATGTGACAGACATGTTGTTTGAACTAAGGTATACAACATTAGTGATTATGACTGTATAAAGTAGTGAGAAAATGTAAGGTCATGTGACAGACATGTTCTTTGAACTAAGGTATACAACATTAGTGATTATGACTGTATAAAGTAGTGAGCCAATGAAAGATTTTGACCCTCTAAATTTCCTTTACAGGCTGGCAAACTCCAAATATTTGACGTTTCGTCTGGTTCATTGCTTGAAACTGTGGACGCACACGATGGTGCTATTTGGTCGTTGTGTTTAGCTCCCGATAATGTAAGGGACTTTACTTCATTTTAAAAACATATTTTTGGTCCGGTCGTTGGAAAGTAACATTTTTGACAAAATTTGTGGACAGCCATGCCCTTCTTAATATGCTTTCTTTCGATTATTTCTCTAACAGAAATAGCAGAGATCTTTTTGTTGGCAAACTTAAGTTATTCTGCTGCTTGTCATTTTGTAACTCCTTGAAGAGACAAGTGACGTATGCTTCACTTCTCCCCGTCCTCATATATTCTTTCAGTGAATCGTTCAGAGGGAGCTCAAGACTACGCACATCTAGAAATGATGGTTTTATCAATTTCTAGACGCTATTTGCCTCAGGAAGTGGTGACAAGGATGTAAAATTTTGGGAATTCGATTTGATTACGGATGAGAACTATTCAACGACCAGGTATTAAATAATTTGCATGTAAAGCAACGTTTGCACTCAACGTGATTTTTCTCACTCTTAACATTGTAAGACGAAAAATGTCCTTTGTCTGTCGGAGAAAAAACAACTTCATGTACTAATTCTGTTGAAGCTTGTGTTCTAAAGTTTTTTCTCTTGTTTTTCTTGTGCATTTCATGATGTTTGTAAAGAAAATGGTTAAATGTGACCATCCGCTTTTTGTTTGTTCAATCTTTGTTGAAGCTTATGTTCTAAACCTTTTTCTTTGTTTTCTTGTGCATTTCATGATGTTTGTAAAGAAAAGTGGTTAAATGTGACCATCCGCTTTTGTTTGTTCAATCTTTGTTGAAGCTTGTGTTCTAAAGTTTTTTCTCTTGTTTTTCTTGTGCATTTCATGATGTTTGTAAAGAAAAGTGGTTAAATGTGACCATCCGCTTTTTGTTTGTTCAATCTTTGTTGAAGCTTGTGTTCTAAAGTTTTTTCTCTTGTTTTTCTTGTGCATTTCATGATGTTTGTAAAGAAAAGTGGTTAAATGTGACCATCCACTTTTGTTTGTTCAATCTTTGTTGAAGCTTGTGTTCTAAAGTTTTTCTCTTGTTTTTCTTGTGCATTTCATGATGTTTGTAAAGAAAAGTGGTTAAATGTGACCATCCACTTTTGTTTGTTCAATCTTTGTTGAAGTTTGTTCTAAAGTTTTTCTCTTGTTTTTCTTGTGCATTTCATGATGTTTGAAGAAAGTGGTTAAATGTGACCATCCACTTTTTGTTTGTTCAATCTTTGTTGAAGCTTAAAGTTCTTTGTTTTCTTTTGTGCATTTCATGATGAGTAAAGAAAAGTGGTTAAATGTGACCATCCACTTTTTGTTTGTTCAATCTTTGTTGAAGCTTGTGTTCTAAAGTTTTTTCTCTTGTTTTTCTTGTGCATTTCATGATGTTTGTAAAGAAAAGTGGTTAAATGTGACCATCCGCTTTTTGTTTGTTCAATCTTTGTTGAAGCTTGTGTTCTAAAGTTTTTTCTCTTGTTTTTCTTGTGCATTTCATGATGTTTGTAAAAAAAGGGTTAAATGTGACCATCCACTTTTGTTTGTTCAATCTTTGTTGAAGCTTGTGTTCTAAAGTTTTTTCTCTTGTTTTTCTTGTGCATTTCATGATGTTTGTAAAGAAAAGTGGTTAAATGTGACCATCCGCTCTTAGTTTGTTCAATCCTCAGCTTAACATTTTCTAATTGTATGATTCAATATTGTCTAATTACTTTATGTATTTCGTTGTACAATTGGGTGATTCATTTTGTATTATTTTGTTTAGTCAAAGATTAAGTATTTGTCATGCACGAACATTAAAGATGAATGATGACGTAATGTGTGTAAAGTTCAGGTTAGTTGTTTATATATTCGTCTGTGGGGGGAGGGTATATGTACTTATGATCTTTTATATAATCACGTGCCAACCTTCGTTTCAGTCCAAATCAAAAGTTTATTGCCGTGGCTTTGCTTGATTTTACAATGAAAATTTTCTTCACTGATACATTGAAGGTAAGTTGTTCAATATTTTTGTAAGTAGTTGATGATATTGGATAGCAGTTGATGATATTGGATAGCAGTTGATGATATTGGATAGCAGTTGATGATATTGGATAGCAGTTGTTAGAATATTTTCATTTGTTGCTGTAGATCACTTTGAAGATGACTCCTTGTACGAAATTCTCCCATTTTTTTTCATCTATGAATCACGATAAAAATGCACTTTTGTAAAAAGAAGGCGATATTTTTGACTTTAAGCTAGTTACGTAACATTGGATTAGTGTATGCTTTCCATCAACGTTATAATTTGATTTACAGAAGTCTCAAAAATTTAACTGAATAAACATTTTCCTGCCCATTTATCCTAATTACTTTTGTATTCATTCTTTAAATGTGGTTACTTTTCTCGCGTCGTTATTAAGTTCTTCTTATCCCTCTATGGTCATAAATTGCCTGTTGTTACCATGGATATATCAATGGTACGTTTTATTCATATGACGTGTGTTTCAAAGTATCCACGTTTGACTGTCGTATGCAAACGTGTATTGTTTTTACAAGTAGAATCCTTAGCTTACGTCATGGACGCATACATTTTGTATACGTCACATCCGTTTTAGCTGTTGCATAAATTATGCTGTTTTTTTCAAGCTCACAGGAACGGCTTCCAACTCTGTTTTGATATCATGTTTTATAATATGTTTTTTTATTTTTAGTTGAAAGAACTTTACCACATAAAATAGAAGAAAAATACGTATACACAAAAGATACATTACCAAGCTGTAAATAAGTCATTCCGCAATAGCTTTTCGAATTAGATATTTACGAATTAAAAATAAAAAGTGAATCAATTTTAAATTATGCATTGATAATTTATGCGACAGTTGAGAAGAATGTAAATTTTGCTGGGTAAGCTTTTCTTCAATGTTGCTTTAAACCCAAACGAGGAAGTTTAGGTTTGTGACGTAAACTAAGGAATTATAAAATGAGAGATGATTATGAGAATGTAATGAAAAGTGATTTGAAACTTTGAAAAAGACGTACATAATGTCAACTACGTATGACCGTGTAAATTTTTACCAATCCTCTGTTGTGAAAGTGTAGAGCGTGTAGCGGTCCATCTCTTGACCACTTTGTATTAGTGAACGCTTTTCAATGGCGTCGTTATTTATTTTTGAAGCTTTTTTCTGTCTTTGGAGTCGTATTTTTGTCATCCTTGATTCATTTTTTACAGGATAACGTTCTCCTCGTTTCTGGTGGCGTTGACAAGAACATTAAGATTTGGGGTTTGGATTTTGGTGATTGTCGCAAATCAATATTCGCCCATGATGACAGGTATGCACAATGTAATTTTAAATGATAGATACGTAATTTTATGATAGTAATATATGATAGCCTGAAACAGTCGATTATATCCCTACTATACACTCGTATCCTATGTATATCGTCATTATACCCTATTAAACCCTTTTACCCTGGTTACATCATTGTTTCGTCATCACCATACCTCGTACGTCTATAACATACTAGTAAACCACGTAATTACACCTAGTAATATCTACATGTACTTTCGTTGTATACTTTATATTCTCATGATATCAACATTACACCTAGTAATACCTACATGTACTATCGTTGTATACTTTATATTCTCATGATATCAACATTACACCTAGTAATACCTACATGTACTTTCATTGTATACTTTATATTCTCATGTTATCAACATTATACCTAGTAATACCTACATGTACTTTCGTTGTATACTTTATATTCTCATGATATCAACATTACACCTAGTAATACCTACATGTACTATCGTTGTATACTTTATATTCTCATGTTATCAACATTACACCTAGTAATACCTACATGTACTATCGTTGTATACTTTATATTCTCATGATATCAACATTACACCTAGTAATGCCTACATGTACTATCGTTGTATACTTTATATTCTCATGATATCAACTTTACACCTAGTAATACCTACATGTACTTTCATTGTATACTTTATGTTCTCATGGTATCAACATTACTCATAGTAATACCTACATGTATATTCTCTATTTATATTAAAGCAGCTTTAACTTTATTTTAGTGTCATGGCCGTGCAGTTCGTGTCAAAAACTCATTATTTCTTCAGTGCAAGTAAAGATAAAACGATAAAATATTGGGATGCTGACAGATTTCTTCATGTTACGACCTTAGAAGGTCATCATTCAGAAATATGCAGTCTTGCAATCAGCCATGACGGCGAGTTTGTTGTAAGTGTCAAGTATGGAAGGTTTTAGATAATTTTAAACATAAGTTTGCTTTATGAATGAAAGAATGAACGAAAGACGTTATTATCAATAAGAGTACCATTTACTCAAAGATCAACACTTATTCTTAACACTCCAGTTCCACATGCATTTTATTTTATCTTATAGATCAGTGGGTCACATGATAAATCATTAAGACTCTGGGAACGAACGGACGAACCGTTGTTTGTCGAAGAGGAGAGAGAAATGGTACTATACATAGATCAGTTGCTGGAGCTGCAAAAATATGTATATCGTACCTGTACTTTCAATGTTTATTTTAATTTTTCTACTTAGGAGAGGGAAGCTGCTTACGAAGAAAGCGCCGTAACAGGAGTTGAAACAATTGTAAGATTCTTTTTACTATGTAACATGAGATATGTATGTTACATCTTGAGCCCAACTACTCTGTATTTGTTATATACTTTCACTATGGAAAATATCTTGTGGAAGTTGCATTTATTGCACTAAATAAATTCATTTATTTAAACCATGATGTTGTTTAGATTCCAGGTGAACAAGACACAGAAGCTGTTAAAGCTGGCAAGAAAACTATCGAGACGATCAAAGGAGTTAGTTTTGTTGTTGTATTAGCATTGCAAGTTAATTTTATTGGTTTTGTGCCCAGTCCCCCCTGTAGTACCTGAAAGATATCTCAAAATCATACAGATATATCGAAAACTGTAGTACGCCAAAGACATGTGAAGACTGTGCATATCTGAGGCCAAGTGTTTAAGCTTACATTGAGACGGGGTACTTGGAGGATATTATAGTAGAATATAGATACTTGGAGGATAATTCAGTATGATTGGGATTTTTGGAGGATATTACAGTATAATATATAATATATGCCTGGAGATTAGTATGTTGATGTTTGTTCTCTTATCTCTTCTTTAGGCTGAAAGAATCATGGAGGCCATTGAATTGTATAAGGAAGAAAGACAGAAAGAACTTGAACATAAAGCGAGTCAAGTGACGAAAGACAAAACGGTAGGTTTGGTATTTCTTGCTCTGCACATCTACAAAATGTTTATGTTATACGTATAGACAATTTTAAATCTTAAATAAAAGGTTTGTTATTTCATGCTCTGCACATCTGCAAAATGTTTATGTTATACGTATAGACAATCTTAAATCTTAAATGAGCAATTTTAAATAACCATGACCGGCAACATCACAAAACTTTCCTAGACTAAACACCCAAATTGGGAGAACGCCCTACACTGTTATTAAACCCGTCCTGTGAAACATCCACCAATATTTTCTTACTCTCTAATTTGGACCACGCCCTGCATCGTTATTTAACCCTGCCCATGAAACCACCAATAATATTTTCTTACTCTCTAATTGGGACTACGCCCTACACTGTTATTAAACTCTACCAATGAAACCACCATTATTTTCATATTTTCTAATTGGGACCACGCTCCGCACTGACCTACCCATGAAACTACCACGAATACTTCCACACTCTCTAATTGGAACCATGCCCTTCACCCTTCACTATTGTCTGATTTATACAGAAAATCCCAGTTCCGTTTTTTACACAATTTCTTTTTGTTCTCACATACATTTTCTTTCCTTTGAACAGCTTCCAAAGCGCGCCATTCATCCGATTCTTTCTGTCTTTGGTAATGTCAGTGTAAGTTTACTATGTCTTCAATGTTTCCATTTAAGATTAATATGAAGGCCACGTGATACAAGGTGAAAGCCACGTGCATGTTGAACATGATTAATGTAAATATTAATTTAATGGTAAGATTGCAAGATTTACATACGTACTTACGTAGATAAGGTAAAAATGGATGAGATGGCTTTACATTTATAACAACTCTAGGAAAAATGAGAGTTAAATGTAAAATACACAGGATTTGTAATAATGAAATAAAATATCTTGACCACCACGAAGATGGAGGCCATAAATATTGTTGTTCTACGATTGAATGACTGTCTATGTCAACCTCCTTTTCCCGGACCATATACTTACGACGTTTGTAAATTATTTTTTCTTCTCACAGCCTGTACAGTATGTACTTCTAGTGGTGAAAAAAGTAAAGTCAAGGTAAGGTTGAAGTATTATAAAGTGCAGCAAATTATCCCGTGATTAATCGTTGTTTGTACTAAAAGTTAATTTAGAGCATTTTAAAGGTAAAGTATGGCAAAGTGTCTCGTTGGAGTTACTAAAGGAATTAAATATTAAGTGTGATTAGAATACAGGAGAGAGGTATCTTCTGAAGCAAGTGTTTTCTACAAAACATTTAAATTATTTACATTCAGCGAACTTGAAGAATCATTGCTTGTGTTACCGTTTGACTATGTTATTGATGTACTGAAACTTCTTCTTGAGTGGATTAAGGTAAAGTGAAATGTATTTTGACTCCTGTGTCATTAGTTCATATGGTACAGGTTTCGTTTTAAAATTTTGCTCATCCCAGATGTACGTGATTGTTTAGAATGGTTGGGAAACAGAGTTAAGTTGTCGATGTCTGTTCTTTCTACTGCGGTAAGATTAAGACGTAATTTTATTTTTGGTTTCGATCGATATTTTCTTCAATGCGTCTGTCTTTAAATCATTCCCTAAGAATTTCATCACGTTCCTTCAGTATTGCTGAATATATGATACAATTGGTGAGATACCTATGTACAGTGCTGGATATTTTTCATTTTTTTCATATTTTGTTACGATAGAATACATCACAACAAGATCATAGCCACTCCTGAACTACTGCCAGTAATAGACTCTATCAGATCACATTGTCGTAGCCGAGTTCGCGAAATGAAGGTAGCAAGTTGTACGTTTATGAAACCGCAAGTATCGCCAAATTTCTCCCGTAACTTTACCATGCGCTACACGACCGTTAATTCATTCGTGGTAAATTTTGTCGACACTTTAATGACTGTAAACTAAACATGAAAAAGTCGTCAATTCTGATTGGTTAAAAGAATTAAGGCTTTCTTTCACAATACAGTGCCAATCTTAATACTGAGTTTGGCTTTGTATTAAAAAGATTCATAGAATATTCTTTTTTGTATTAACAACAGAAAAAAGTATGTATTTAGAAACAAAAATATTCAAGAGTATGAACATTTCATTTTTCTCTAGTTCTTTAAATTTTGCTAAATTAATCGTTTTTAGTTTTTGAATTTTGTACTTCAAACTGCCACAGATGACTTTTTAAATTATATGAACTGAACAAGTGACTTTTCAAATCATTTGAACTGAACTAATGACTTTTCAAATCATTTGAACTAAACAAATGACTTTACAAATTATATGAACTGAACAATTTTTCTTGAATTTTTACATCAACGACGATAAAACTATTGCACACATGTAATGATTGCTTTATCTTTAGGATACTGTTGGATTCAATTTGGCGGGACTACAGTTTATTCAAAGACAGCTTTAGAATCGTGACGTCACCTTCTTTGGCGAAACACGCGAGAGACTGGGACAAATACGAAAAAAAAAGAAGACAATTGTGAGGAAATTTCGATGAAGGTTATTTTGTTGTTGATACTTTGACAACTAAAACGATTGTCTTTGAAAGTACACAATGGCTGAGGTTGATTTCTGAATATAGCCATCTTCGAAGATCCCTAACCCAAACTGTATCCCTAGAGGGAAAACCTAAAATCCCCGTGTGCCCTTTAAATTACAATTTTCGTGAACAGTACACGTTTAAATTTTGCATGATTCAGCAGTTTTTGATACTGGATCAGGCTTAAAAGCCATAGAAAGGAATTTCGATCTTGGTATTTTTAAAACTAAATAATGGGCTAGCCAGACATGGACAATCAAATGAGTCTTTTACTTCTATGACATTAAAATACACTTTTTACGCCTCTAATTGTAGCTCCCAGCTACATAAATAATCAGTAAGCAAACTGATTTCAGAAAAGTTAAATTTAAATGAAAGTGAGATCATCAAAAACAACATCACAACTATCGATGAATACCTCCATCGAATGAAAATATAGAATTAAAATAAGTTATTACATTACGTAAATTGCATATTTCTCAGTTATTAAAAAGAAGAGTGTCACAAAAATTAAGGAGTAATTCCAACTATAAACAGGAAGAAATAATGAATCGATTAACAATTATCAAGCAATTCACCCATCTACAATACTTATGAACAAAAAATGTATTTTATGAGTTACCAAAATGAATACAGGAAAAACTGCATCCTCATATGGCAAAGTAGTCTTCTGGTCATTTCAACATTCAACAAAAGGGATGTAAAATTGTCATGGTTCCTCTAAGATATGGATTTACTCTCATGAAAATGACGCAACAAACACTCCACTCATTTTAAGGAGCTTTACAACTTCAGACTAAATATTTAGATAAATATATAGATAGATAGATTACAAACTTACTATTCTTATATACACTGTAAAGTTCCGTACAAGTTTCTCAGCTAACAGAAATAACTGTTCCAGTAAATAAATGACTACTGAAAACTAGAAAATACAAATGTTTGTATTGATGATTATCAAGAATATATTTACACTTTTTTTTATACAATTGTTGTTGTTTCGACTTTAGTGTAAATTTTTTCTTAATTCACGGAACCACAAATCAATTTCTTCTTTCTTCTATCTCGTTGTAAATTTTCTCAAACATGGAAGCTTTTTTGGCTACTAGCAATTTAAAGGTGCAGTGTCAATTTCTATAGATGGTTTACTACCAAATGAAGATTGTCGTACATTATTCCAGAATTAGCATATCAGGACTTTTGTTTGAAATTGTATTGCTCGTTCATAAAAATGTTTTGCTATTTCGTATTCACCTATATCACTGTAAACCAAATTAAGATTGTTGTACGCTGTCGCGATATTAACATGGTCAGGTCCAAATGCTTTCGTTTGAATTTCCATCGCTCGTTCGTAAAAATCTTTTGCTTTTTCGTACTCTCCCATATTTTTGTAAACCGAACCAAGATTGCTGTACGTTGTCGCAATATTAACATGGTCAGGTCCAAATGCTTTCGTTTTAATATCCATTGCTCGTTCAAAAATCTTTTGCTTTTCGTACTCTCCCATATTTTCGTAAACCAAACCCAGATTGTTGTACGTTGTCGCGATATTAACATGGTCAGGTCAAATGCTTTCGTTTGAATTTCCATCGCTTGAATGCAAAATGTTTGGCTTTTCGTACTCTCCTAATTTACTGTAAACCAAACCTAGGTTGTTGTACGTTGTCGCGATATTAACATGGTCAGGTCCAAATGCTTTCGTTTGAATTTCCATTGCTCGTTCGTAAAAATCTTTTGCTTTTTCGTACCCTCCCATATTTTTGTAAACCGAACCAAGATTGCATTACGTTGTCGCAATATTAACATGGTCAGGTCCAAATGCTTTCGTTTGAATTTCCATAGCTTGTATGCAAAAATGTTTGGCTTTTTCGTACTCTCCTATTTTACTGTAAACCAAACCCAGATTGTTGTACGTTGTCGCAATATTAACATGGTCAGGTCCAAATGCTTTCGTTTGAATTTCCATCGCTTGTATGCAAAATGTTTGGCTTTTCGTACTCTCCTAATTTACTGTAAACCAAACCCAGATTGTTGTACGTTGTCGCAATATTAACATGGTCAGGTCCAAATGCTTTCGTTTGAATTTCCATTGCTCGTTCGTAAAATCTTTTGCTTTTTCGTACTCTCCCATATTTTTGTAAACCAAACCCAGATTGTTGTACGTTGTCGCAATATTAACATGGTCAGGTCCAAATGCTTTCGTTTTAATTTCCATTGCTCGTTCGTAAAATCTTTTGCTTTTCGTACTCTCCCATATTTTTGTAAACCAAACCCAGATTGTTGTACGTTGTCGCAATATTAACATGGTCAGGTCCAAATGCTTTCGTTTGAATTTCCATCGCTCGTGCAAAATCTTTGGCTTTTCGTACTCTCCTAATTTACTGTAAACCAAACCCAGATTGTTGTACGTTGTCGCAATATTAACATGGTCAGGTCCAAATGCTTTCGTTTAATTTCCATTGCTCGTTCGTAAAAATCTTTTGCTTTTTCGTACCCTCCCATATTTTTGTAAACCAAACCCAGATTGCAGTACATTGTGGCAATATTAACATGGTCAGGTCCAAATGCTTTCGTTTGAATTTCCATTGCTCGTTCGTAAAAATCTTTTGCTTTTTCGTACTCTCCCATCTCATCGTAAACCAAACCCAGATTGCAGTACGTTATCGCAATATTAACATGGTCAAGTCCAAATGCTTTTGTTTGAGTTTCCATTGCTCGTTCGCAAAAATCTTTTGCTTTTTCGTACTCTCCCATATTTTTGTAAACCAAACCCAGATTGTTGTACGTTGTCGCAATATTAACATGGTCAGGTCCAAATGCTTTCGTTTGAATTTCCATTGCTCGTTCGTAAAAATCTTTTGCTTTTTGTACTCTCCATATCATGTAAACAAACCCAGATTGCAGTACGTTGTCGCAATATTAACATGGTCAGGTCCAAATGCTTTCGTTTGAATTTCCATCGCTCGTTGCAAAATCTTTGGCTTTTCGTACTCTATTTTACTGCATACCAAACCCAGATTGTTGTACGTTGTTGCGATATTAACATGGTCAGGTCCAAATGCTTTCGTTTGAATTTCCCTTGCTCGTTCGTAAAAATCTTTTGCTTTTTCGTACTCTCCCATTATTTTGTTAACCTGACCCAGATTGCAGTATGTTGTCGCAATATTAACATGATCAGGTTTAAGTGCTATCGTTTTAATTTCCATTGCTCGTTCGTAAAAATCTTTTGCTTTTTCGTACTCTCCCATTTTAGTGTAAACCGAACCCAGATTGTTGTACGCTGCCGCAATATTAACATGGTCAGGTCCAAATGCTTTTGTTTGAATTTCAATTGCTCTTTCGTAAAAATCTTTTGCTTTTTCGTACTCTCCCATATTTTTGTAAACCAAACCCAGATTGCAGTACGTTGTCGCAATATTAACATGGTCAGGTCCAAATGCTTTTTTCAATTTCCATTGCTCGTTCGTAAAATCTTTTGCTTTTTCGTACTCTCCCATATTTTTGTAAACCAAACCCAGATTGCAGTACGTTGTCGCAATATTAACATGGTCAGGTCCAAATGCTTTCGTTTAATTTCCATTGCTCGTTCGTAAAATCTTTTGCTTTTCGTACTCTCCCATATTTTGTAAACCGAACCCAGATTGCAGTACGTTGTCGCAATATTAACATGGTCAGGTCCAAATGCTTTCGTTTAATTTCCATTGCTCGTTTAAAAATCTTTGCTTTTCGTACTCTCCATATCATTGTAAACCGAACCCAGATTGTTGTACGTTGTCGCAATATTAACATGGTCAGGTCCAAATGTTTTGTTTTGAATTTCCATTGCTCGTTCGTAAAAATCTTTTGCTTTTCGTACTCTCCCATATCATTGTAAACCAAACCCAGATTGTTGTACGTTGTCGCGTTATTAACATGGTCAGGTCCAAATGCTTTTGTTTGAATTTCCATCGCTCGTTCATAAAATCTTTTGCTTTTTGTATTCTCCATTCTTCCAGAGCAACTTACCCAGCTCGTTGTACGAATATGAAACATCAACATGATTGACACCTAACTCTCTAGTTTGAATTATTATTATATCCTTAAGTACATTGATGGCCTGTTTATAGTTGGCAAATTTTTCTAATACATTTACAAAGTAAATGGCAATTTTCAAATTTTTTTCATTGAGTTTTTGTTTTCTATAGAAAAAAAATAACGATTTCTCGTTTATCAACTTATTTTGAAATTGCTTAAATGACGAATTGTTTATGAATTTAATAAGATGTGGAGTTATTTTAATTTGATCTTCTCTGTCTTTAAAATGATAGAGTGCCCAAGCAACTTGACACGCAAGTACAGACATCTTAGTCGAATTATTTGCTTTTTGTGTACTGCAAGAAGTCTGCGAAGATTGATAGTTTGTGATGGCTTCATGTACAACGCGATGCAGGCGGATGTCGTTGTTTTCCGATTGAAGAATTAACGAACAATGGTTTAATTGAAGACATATATCTTCTGCAGATATATGTGGATCAATGCTTTCAATAAATTGTATAATAATATCTTGTGGTAACGGATCGAATGATATTATCGAGAAAAGACCAAAAATTTTTTCCATTAATATGGATTCTTGAGCACTTTTTTGTACTGCCAGCTCAACAGTTTTCAATAAGGTTGATTTACCTCCAGAATATGCTGTATTGATCTTCTGAAATGCGGCATCCATGCTCTGTCGCTCTCCTTCAGTCAACTTATTGAAGTATTGCTCCCATGTGAATTCCATATTTGCACTTTTTGCACTACCTACGTAGTAAGCAGCACTTGCCAGGACCAATGGTTGACGATCTAATTTTTCTGACAACTTCTTCAAAAACTCTTCATCGTGATTATGAACATCGGTATAGACAGATAGAAGTTGACGACATTCTTTATCATTCATACCATGACTGATTGAAATGTGTTTGTTTAGATTTCATCTGGTGGTATAGCATCTGTATTTTGGACAGTTACAACAATTTGTCCATTTTTCCAATTATGATCACCAACTTGAGGTAATAATTGATAAATTTTATCAAGTTCAATCACGTTATCTACAACAATCCACCATATTTTCCAAGATTTCAGTTTTGTGTCAGCAGGAAATGAAAGTGTTTGATTCTGTCTTCGCTGCTTTTACCTTTTTAAAATATTTTCAATAAAATGTTCATGGATGTTCAAACGTTGACAAAGTTCATTATAAGTTTTTAATAGAGAGTCAGCATCTTTTCCTTCGAGTGTCATCACAAATGTAGTTTTATTTTCCCAGTCAACAGAGTTAAATATTTCGTCGCAAATTTGTCTGGCTAATTGAGATTTACCACTGCCAGGATTACCAGAAATATAGTAATATGTCAGTTCATTATTGTTAGTACTGCGCAAGTTATTCAGATCTGCTGTGATTTGATTAAGTAACTCTATACGTTTAACAATGCTATGATTTGGTTTGCAAGGAAGTACTTGAAAAGAATTAAATTTGTTTCGATTACTTTTTATTTCATTAATTTCATTGAATGAAAATCCTAGATCTTGAAACGAATTTTCAATATCACAAACCAGTTTGTCAAATTCGGTATCCGATACTTGACCTTTATTTACATGGGTGAATTTGTTTCTTATATTACGAATTTCATTTACTGCATCTCTAACTTTTGGGTTAACTTTTGTTCCAATTGAGTCGGAATACAGTATTGCTGCAAACAGTGTTGTACAATCCCACTTACTTGTGTCACCATCTTTAAAATTTAACAGAATATGTTTGCCAAGAGGTGGCTTTTTTGTTTTTTCAATATTGAACAACTTCTGGCCAGTAACTTTAGTATTTTCCCATACTCCGTGGGATTTTTTGTAATTATTGTTCCACTCATAGATAAATAAATTAACAAGTTTCTTTTCAACAACATCTGTAAGTATTTTCTGCATGTAGTAGTTATTCCTTTCTTCTTTTGACTCCATCTATGGATCATAAAATGATCATAAGATGAGCACTACTTATTTATAAATACAATTTATGGACAACTGAAATAGTTGAAGATTGAGTTGGAAAATTTCCAATTGTACATGAAATTGGTTAACCAAGGTGGCAGCAGAAACGCAGAAAAAAATTTTCGTGCATTTAGGTATTTTTGTGGCAGTTGAGCAAGTTATTGAAAACCTTCATAAGTGTAGCTAAGAGCAATGCAAGCAGTTGGTCTATAGGTGTGTTTGCAAAACAATCTGAGCTCTACCAATTAAATCAATCAATCAATTTAAGGGAATTTGCTGATCAATCAAAGTCATGTTAGAGGAAAAGTTAAAACGTTTTTCTAATTTGCCTGTTCCGCATCATTGCACGCAGTACGTTTTTATAATAAAAAGTGCTTACGCTGGCTTATGCCAAGTTTGGAGAAGTTGTGAGTTCTCCTAAAGGTCTCCATAGTGCAAACAGTAAATTTATAAAAATCTTTTATATAGCAACTATCTACATGCGATATAGGTTATTTTATTACTCCACAGATGTTATCATTAATAAATGTACCTTGTGTAACTCACCACAAAAAGACACACGATCAGTTTAATATTATGAAATATGTGTAATATAAGAATAACGTAATATTCAGGAAAACATTACGAACTTTTCCACAACACTATCAACGCACGAACATCAACTGAGTTGCATAATCCTAACCATTCCTGAATGCGTTTCAACAAAGACTTTTTATGTAAAGCTGACATAGACTTCGTATAGTCGGTATAAAATAATTACGAATATTTGTTGCAATTAATCATTTCATATAGTTATCTAAAGCAAAACTTTATTGATAATGCAGTTGCACTATACACTATATGAGTGTAAAATTTTGGTTACATAAAAAACAATATAATAATAGTATTTTGCATTGATTTATATTTAGTTATGCCAAAGGTCTTTAAAATCTGGTTTGTTTTCTGTTGGCGATGTAGAAAATGATTTTATATGAGATTCGAATGACCGACAATGAATTAAATTTTTTTTCCTTCCAGAAAAAAAGGGATCAGAACATTTAAACTGGTGACAAGTGTCGGTTTCTTCATTTTCAAAATGTTCTTATAACTAGGTAAAATGTAGAAGATCTATTTTCATCTTAAATCGGAGAAGCTAGTTTATATTTAATGGTTTTGTCTTTTTAGTTCCAAAGACACTTTCGTGAAATTTTGGGATCTTGATTCACAGCATTGTTTTCTCACCTTGGTTGGTCATAAAACAGAGGTGAATGGAACCTATGAATTTGTTGTTTTGATAGGATGTAGGATTGTCACCTTCACTCTCCGTAAAGAATAAGGATGAATACTTGGCTAGAAACAGGGATTTAGGAACAGTAATAAAGTCACTGTAATGTACATTTTTTTAAGGTTTGGGGCTTTGTCGTCGTCAAGAATGAAACAAGGTTAATTACTAGTTGTGCTGATAGTGAATTGAGAGTTTGGAAAATTGAGGACAAAGATGATAGAACAGAAAAACGCGACAAACAGAAAACGAAAGACAGCAACGCAATCTAGCGAGGATGGTGTGGGGAATCTGAGGTACATAATTGTGTTTGTTGGTCGTTTCTCTGCGTCTTCTTGCATGATGCATGAAGGATAATAGTGGATGCTACTTAAATTCAGAAAACCAAAGGGAAAATAAGCGTTTTTGAAATCTTTAGCTTCATCATGAATAGCTACATTAAAATATCTTATGCCAAGATTTTATTATGCATGTTGATGTGAACATTTCATACGTTCACTCTGTACTCATTTTAAATTTTGTAATAAATTGTGTTAAGTTTTCAACTTGTTTTGTAAGTAATGCAAAGATATGACCATTAAGAACGAAGAATCGTCTGACAAAGACAAAAAAAAGCAGCATAAATAAACTGTTTTTGTTTTCTTTTGGCCATCTACATTAGACCTGTTACCACTGCATCAAGCATTTAGTCTAGTTTTAAATTCATAAATAAGCGTTTGGTTCTAGTTTCAACTCGGATTTCAACTTCTCTATTTCGAATTTCAATAGGAATTGCTTTCGTGTACAATGATTGGCTCTGTCATGAGAAGCTCAACTGATCGCGTAGTGTCGCTGTATTGCGATCTTTCACGAACTTATATTGGTTGTCATGTACGTACGTTATGTAAGAAGTTTTTAGTTGGGATTTGGATTGTAAAAAATTGCTGTGAACATTATGTGGCTACTGCTCAGCTTTATGTTACAACCTAGTATCAATTATAAATGGCTTTTCTGATTGGATTAATCAGACACTAATGATAAACATTAACTTTTCGTTCTTTATAATTTTATAGCTTATGGTATTTCATTGTGCTATTTAAAACCCTAGACAATAGCAACGCACAGCTTTTTAAGAAGTGGGTTTGGTATTCAATTATGGAAAACAAAATATTTAATTTACATATCAATTTTGCTGCGGTCACCGAGAGTCGTGTTGACTATCGTGAGGGAATGTTCATTATAAAGCAACTGTCTGAGTAATTTTCGTGTGTTTTACAAACCCAGCAGAAATTCTTACAGTATAAATATTACCTCAGTTTCATTGGAAAAACTTCATTCTAATGTCGACCATAGGCTGTCATTATTCATTTCATGATATAAGTTGAGAATGTAGTATTTATATAAAAAGCATTCAGGGTTATGAATGATTTTTACAAAATATAATCAATATTTCATATTTCACGAGAGGACTAAAAAGATCTTATGTGAAGATAATTTTTATTTGTTTGAGGTGCTAATTCTACATTGAAATGTTTCGTCTTGCATCGAGGACGAAATAAAAAAAAAACAACTTGAGCAAAGACGAAAAAAGATTTTAAAGCAAGGTTGTTGACTTTGAAATTTCAAAACTATATTCAAGCTTTTTATTCTCATACATGTGATATTTTTTACCATTATTTATTCCTAGATCACAAGGATTGGAAGCCGACGAAAGCTGACGGTTAGATAATTTTGTTACGTGAAATTTGTGTGCAAAAATTGACGAATCAAAATATACGGGCAGTTTACGCTAAGACATCACAATCTTGCCTCGTTTTTGTAACATTGTGATATTTCTCTTTGTTATGAATAACTATATATATTATGTTAAAATCATGTGGAGCATATTTGGTTTGTTGCTTAAAATGAAATAGATTTTGAATACGAAGAAACGGAACTTGGAAAGAATGAATACGTTGTTATTTAATTGTGTATTTGCGCACTATTTGTCTTATTTTGAAACATGTTTTAACATTACTTTTATTTCATCAGGTTTCTGTAAACGTCTTAGCCACCGTCGAAGACAGATTATAAATTACCCGATGTTAAAGCGACCTCAAAGAATAAGGTAAAATGATGTATGGAGTACAAAACATTGTAATTCCTTGTGGAAGTCAAGCGTTTTGTGTGAGAGAGAATTTTTTCTAGACGTGCTTTTCTCAACGGGTGTTTTTCTTAAATATAACACAGACAAAGTTTATCGTTATTTGAAATTAATCAATGTTGTTTAACACTTCATAAATGCAATATTTTTAAGCCGTTTACAATGTCAGTTTCAAAATTGCTTGTTCAAGATTGCGGAATAAAAAGTTATTTTTAAACGATTTTTTACGATTGAATATTCGTTTCTAGTCCTCTTCATTGCATACGTACGTACGTGCGTCGTTCATTCACTTGTTTTGCTTTCCGCCATTTGTAAAATACAAACATTGTTTTTCTATTAGGTCATTTGACTTTGCATTGAATTCAAATAATGATCTAAAGGTATCTCATTATTTTTGTCCGCGATTTTATTTTATATTTGAGAAGTATGGATGTGTTAAATTGATGTTTTCTGTATAATTCCAACTGTTGTTAAATAGTCATTTGGGAACGATGAGAAATAGTCTTTCGTCATTTTATCATCTTATTTGATTGTACATGTAAAGAATGCGCAGTATACTGGATACTATGGAATTAGTTGCATCCACTTGAAATAAGAAGTTTTTAAATTTCTACAGATTTCATTATTACTACACAACAACAGCGTAGAGTTTCATGTCTTTAGTGAAGAAAAGAAAGATTCAACTAATATACTTTCCATTGGTCATCAATAATGATGTAGAGTATGTGGCTACGTAGATCTCAATAAATCTGGAATATAAAGACAATAAGTTAAAGTCTTAAAATCTCATGTGCCTTTTAGAAGCATCATGTAACAGCTCACTTCATCTGATTGACCCTAAGAGCAAATGTATTTTTTATTTTACATGCGATTCAATGGTTAGAAATAATTGCATGTGAGAAAATGATTAATTTTGTTGTGTTGTTGTTATTTTCGCTTCATCTGCATTTATATATTTTCCACTTTAGCACGAATCTTGAATAAAATGGATTTATTTTTTATTTATATGAACTTCACCCTTGATTTAGTTGATTTTCTTCGCTTTGTTACTTTAGGACTTTGTCATTCAATCTGACGATTCCTGCATACTCTCTGGCGCAGCTGAAAGTGTTAAATTGTGGAACAGGTACAATAAACAGATTTTTAAAGTTGTGTATGTGTATTTGCTTGTAATTTCTTTAACTAAAACATACAATGATGCATATTTTTTAATTTTTTATCACGTTGTACCAACAGGATAATCATTCTTTCTGTTAGGAATAAGGTTCGAGTAATTTCAAATAGGGGGAGGGGAGGGGAAAAATCAAAGTTTACTAAAAAAACCAATATGCAAGGAATTAAAATAGCATCCTGAAAGATGTAAAATTACCGTAACAGACTTACGTACTCTACGCTATCATTGTTTGTGGGTCGAAAGAGTGACTGTGTCTATTTCAACTTCTGATGATTTTTCTAACAAATTTATAGATCGACTCAGAAATGCATCAGAACAATGTCTTCTGGTTATTGTGTAAGTTCGCTTTTTGTACCTGGTGACAGACACATTGTTGTTGGTACTAAGGTATTCAGCATTAATGAATGTGACTTTATAAAATAGTAGTAGTAGTAGTTTCGTATGGTCACACTTCCATGTGTGTCTCATCAAGCCAGCTTGCGAAGTTATCATCTGCTTTGTGCACTGTTGCGTAGCCGCCTTCAATGCGTGTGAACGGACATTGCAGGATGATATGGTCCATATTCTGGTTGGTGGCGTTACATGATGGGCAAGTTGGCGAGTCTTTGTAGCCCCATCGGTATAGGTTGTTAGCTGTTCTGCCCTGTTTCGATCTTATTCGGTTACAAGTGCTCCATTGTTTACGAGTTAGCTTTTTGAAACCAGGAAGAGGGACATTTGTGGGAGCTTTAATTAGATCAGCACCCCTTGGTTTATTTTCGTACCATTGTTCCTTCCATGTATTGTTGAGGTCAAACGATTCAATCTTGGAGTTATAAAAAGGTTTTCGTGATTTAAGTCTCGAAGTAGTTGAGGCAGACTGGATAATAGTTTTTAGTGGAGTGTCAATTAGTGTATTTTCAATGCGATGATGTTGTTTCTGTGTTGCTTCCTGTCTGCGTATGTTAGGTGGAGCTATAGCACTCATTACAGGTAGCCAAGAGGTTGGGGTTGATTTTAATGTCCCGGAAATTGTTCGCATTGTGTCATTTAGCAATACTTCTATCTTATTGACGTGTTTAGAGCTAGACCAAACTGGAGCACAATATTCTGCAACACCGTATGATAGGGCAAGAGATGATGTCCTAAGTACCGTTGGAGTGGCGCCACACGATGTTCCTGCCAGTTTTTTAATTATGCCATTTCGTTTTCGCAGTTTTGTGGCAGTGTTTTCAATGTGCTGTTTGTATGTTAGCGAGCGATCTAAAGTCACACCCAGGTATTTTGGAGATGAGTCATATGGTAATTTGGAGTTGCCTACACGTATTGCAAGTTGTAGATTTGCCTTGTGATTGTCCAAGTGGAAGAGTGTGCTTACAGTTTTGGTTGTGTTCATATTTAGGTACCACTTGTTGAAAAAGATTTGTAGTTTTGTTGTATCATGGCTGAGGGTATCTTGAATTTGTTTAATATCGCTAGATTGGTGTGATAGTACAAAGTCATCAGCGTAGCCAAGTTTGAGAGAGGTGGTCTGTGGTAAGTCACTGATATAGATGTTGAACAAAGTTGGTGCTAGAACTGAACCTTGGGGAACACCGTTTTTTATAGTTCTCTTTTTGCTTATTTTGTCACCCAAACATACATGATAAATTCTTGATCCAGACATTTTATTCAAAAGCTTTAGTGTTTTCTTACAAGGGATACATTTGGTTTTATACATCAAACCGTTGTGCCATACCGTGTCGTAAGCCGCAGATAGATCAATAATTGCAGCTCCAGTTTTCTGTTTTCTTTCATATCCCATTTCGATGTATGTCGTTAAGGCCAGAACTTGTTCAGTGGCATCTCTACCTGGTCGAAAGCCTGCTTGTTCTATTGGGATATAGGGGTCGAGTTGGGGTGCTATTCTGGTCAGTAGTATTCTCTCTAGAAGTTTAAAAAACAACACAACAGAGAAATTGGGCGATAACTTGATGGATCGTTTGAGGGTTTTCCAGGTTTGAGGATGGCAAGTATTTTAGCTTCTCTCCAAGTCTGTGGGTATTCTGATTCGTCAATAACATCCGAGAGAGATAATGCAAGCCAGTTGATCGCCTTGTGGCCTAAATGTTTGATCATGTATGAATAGATACCATCTATTCCGGCTGCCTTGCCAGCTTTCATTTGTTTAATTGCAGTGTCGACTTCTTGCTTACTAACTGGCATTGAAGAAAAGCTGTCATCCGGGCTTGATTTGTATAAGCGTTGGTATTCATGTCTGATTTCTTTTTCGAATTTATGGATTGGTTTATGGGTGCTACGCTGTTTTATTTGTTTTGCGATATCTTCAATGTTAATCGGTGCCTCCTGTGTTGTTTGCGGGCGTTTATCTGGGTCAGGTTTTTTCAAGAGGTTCCATGCCTTTCTGCTTGAGTGGCAGAAGTCCGTGTTTTCTACTGTTTCCTGCCATTTCTTGCAACGTCCTTTTTGTAGAGATTTTAAGAGTTCCTCAGCTATGCTTTGGTCCTGTGTTTCTTCATATCTTTTAAGAAGAGTTTGACTTTCTTCTGTCCAGCAAGGGATGTAAGTAGATCGCTGGCCTCTTGGAATAAATTTTCTGGCACTACGTAGAATGAGTTTGGTGAAGCGGGGGATGTTTTCCTGTACGGGTTGTATTCTTGGGCATGTTCTCTCTATGGACTTAGTGAAATCACTCCAGTTTGCTTTTTGGAAATTCCATCTAGGTTTAGGAGAGATGGTGAAATATTTAGACCTATTGTGATAAGAAGAGGTCTGTGTTGGCTTTTAGGGAATGAACCGAGGACTTGACGAGAGGAATAGAGTGGTATGTCATTGTTATCCTTGGATACGAATGTTAGGTCAGTAGAGTATTCTCTTTGCCATCTTGCAGAGAAGAAAGTGCCCTTTTCTCGCGGATCAAACAATAGATGCATATTATTTTGTGATGTCCATGTGCTGATGTCTTCACCAGCTGTATTGTTCGTTCTGTAACCCCAGTCTGAATGATGACTGTTGAAATCACCTGTGATAACTGTAGGGTGACTGATGTGTGGTAGAGGTGGTGATGGCCAGTTCTCATTCGGTGGTTTATAGATGTTAATTAGAGTAGTTCCGCCATAGTGGAAAATAGTACGATGGACATTATTTTCAGTTAGAGCAGATTGTATCACTAAGGTTAATTGGGGATGTTTTGAAAAAACCATTGTGCCATATTTTTCATGGAAGATGGCGTCAACAAGCGAGTAATTTGTGATAGTGTATCTCGATGATGGACTATTCTCTACAATATGGGTCTCTTGTAGAAAGAGAATATCAACTTTGTTATCATGAAGAAGTTTTGATTAGTATTCACATTTGGCCATAGACAATCCTTCGACATTTTAAGGAGAGTAAGTTCACTGTTGGGCCAATGTTGAGATGGGAGCCAGCTTGGCTCAATGAGCGGACCTTTTTATCCTGGGCGACGTCCGAGCCAGTATGGTTTTCTGTATTTGGACTATTCATGAGTTTGGAGGTGTGGTTCCGGGAGTTCGACATCGAAGTTCGGAGACCGGGTTTGGATCATTCTTAGTTTTCCTTCAGTGAAGTACTTAAGCCCCTGCACGACGGCAACGTGATGATCCAGGCGCAGGGGTATAAAATAGTGAGACAATGTAAGGTCATGTGACAGACACATTGTTGGTACTAAGGTATTCAGCATTAGTGAATGTGACTTTATAAAGTCGTGAGACAATGTAAGGTCATGTGACAGACACGTTGTTGTTCGTACTAAGGTATTCAGCATTAGTGAATATGACTTTATAAAGTCGTGAGACAATGTAAGGTCATGTGACAGACACATTGTTGTTGGAACTAAGGTATACAACACTAGTGAAGATGACTTTATAAAGTAGTGAGACAATGTAAGGTCATGTGACAGACACGTTGTTGTTTGAACTAAGGTATACAACAATAGTGAAGATGACTTTATAAATTAGTGAGACAATGTAAGATGCTGACCCTCAAAATTTCCTTTACAGGCTGGCAAACTCCAAATATTTGACGTTTCGTCTGGTTCATTGCTTGAAACTGTGGACGCACACGATGGTGCTATTTGGTCGTTGTGTTTAGCTCCCGATAATGTAAGGAACTTTACTTCATTTAAAAAACATATTTTTGGTCCAGTCGTTGGAAAGTAACATTTTGACGTATGCTTCACTTCTCTTCCCCCCCCCCGTCCTCAGAGGGAGCTCCAGACTACGTACGTTCATCTAGAAATGATGATTTTATCAATTTCTGGACGCTATTCGCCTCGGGAAGTGGTGACAAGGTTGTAAAATTTTGGGAATTTGATTTGATTACGGATGAGAACTATTCAACGACCAGGTATTAAATAATTTGCATGTAAAGCAACGTTTGCACTCAACGTGATTTTTCACTTTTTAACATTGTAAGACAAAAAAATGTACATTGTCTGTCGGAGAAAAACAACTTCATGTACTAATTCTGTTGAAGCTTGTGTTCAGGGTTTTTTCTCTTGTTTTTCTTGTGCATTTCCTGATGTTTGTAAAGAAAAGTGGTTAATCTTGACCATCCGCTTTTGTTTGTTCAATCTTTGTTGACTTGTGTTCTAAAGTTTTTCTCTTGTTTTTTGTGCATTTCATGATGTTTGTAAAAAGTGGTTAAATGTGACCATCCACTTTTGTTTTATTCAATCTTTGTTGAAGCTTGTGTTCTAAAGTTTTTTTTTTCTTGTTTTTGTATGCATTTCATGTGTTTGTAAAGAAAAGTGGTTAAATGTGACCATCACTTTGTTTTTTGTTCAATCTTTGTTGAAGCTTGTGTTCTAAAAGTTTTCTCTTGTTTTCTTGCGCATTTCATGATGTTTGTAAAGAAAAGTGGTTAAATGTGACCATCCGCTTTTGTTTGTTCAATCTTTTGTTGAAGCTTGTGTTCTAAGTTTTTCTTTGTTTTTTTGTGCATTTCATGATGTTTGTAAAGAAAAATGGTTAAATATGACCATCCACTTTTTGTTTGTTCAATCTTTGTTGAAGCTTGTGTTCTAAAGTTTTTTCTCTTGTTTTTCTTGTGCATTTCATGATGTTTGTAAAGAAAAGTGTTGAAATGCGACCATCCACTTTTTGATTGTTCAATCCTCAGCTTAACATTTTCTAATTGTATGATTCAATATTGTCTAGTTCGATTATGTATTTCGTTGTACAATTGGGTGATTCATTTTGTATCATTTTGTTTAGTCAAAGATTAAGTATTTGTCATGCACGAACATTAAAGATGAATGATGACGTAATGTGTGTAAAGTTCAGGTTAGTTGTTGATATATTCGACTGTGGGGGAGGGTACACATACTTATGATCTTTCATTTAATCACGTGCCAACCTTCTTTGCAGTCCAAATCAAAAGTTTATTGCCGTGGCTTTGCTTGATTTTACAATGAAAATTTTCTTCACTGATACATTGAAGGTAAGTTGTTAAATATTTTTGTACGTAGTTGATGATATTGGATAGCAGTTGATATTGGATAGCAGTTGATGGTATTGGATAGCAGTTGATGAGATTGGATAGCGGTTGATGGTATTTGATAGCAGTTGATGGTATTGATAGCAGATGGTGATTGATACTTGGTTAGTATGTGGATAGCAGTTGATGGTATTAGATAGCAGTTGATGGTATTGGACTGCAGTTGATGGTATTTGATAGCAGTTGATAGTATTTGATAGCATTTGATGATCCTGGTAACAGTTGATGATATTGGATAGCAGTTGATGTTGGATAGCAGTTGATGTTGGGTAGCAGTTGATGATATTGGATAGCAGTTGCTGTTGGATAGCAGTTGATATTGCATAGCAGTTGATGTTGGATAGCAGTTGATGTTGGATAGCAGTTAGAATATTTTCATTTGTTGCTGTAGATCACTTTAAAGATGACTCCTTGTACGAAATTCTCCCATTTGTTTTTCTATGAATCACGATAAAAATGCACTTTGAGTTAGAACTGTTTCCTTTTCCTACAAAAAAATTCACTGAAAATATCCACTTTTGTAAAAAGAAGGCGATATTTTTGACTTTAAGCTAGTTACGTAACATTGGAGTAATGTCTGCTTTCCATCAACGTTATAATTTGATTTACAGAAGTCTCAAAAATTTAACTGAATGAACATTTTCCTGCCCATTTATTCTAAATACTTTTGTATTCATTCTTTAAATGTGGTTACTTTTCCCGCGTCGTTATTTAGTTCTTCCTATCCCTCTATGGTCATAAATTACCTGTTGTTACCATGGATGTATCAACGGTATGTTTTATTCATATGACGTGTGTTTCAAAGTATCAACGTTTGACTGTCGTATTTGATAGCAGTGGATTGTGTTTGTGAGAAGAATCCTTAGCCTACGTCATACATTTTGTATACGTCACATCCGTTTTAGCTGTCGCATAAATTATACTGTTTTTTTCAAGCTCACAGGAACGGCTTTCAACTCTGTTTTGATATCATGTTTTATAATACGTTTTTTATTTTTGGTCAAAAGAACTTTATGACATAAAATACAAGAAAAATACGTATACACAAAAGATACATTACCAAGCTGTAAATAAGTCATTTCGCAATAGGTTTTCGAATTAGATATTTACGAATTAAACATACAAAGTGAATCAATTTTAAATAATGCATTAATAATTTATGCGACAGTTCAAAAGAATGTAAATTTTTCTGGGTAAGCTTTTCTTCAATGTTGCTTTAAACCCAAACGAGGAAGTTTCAGTTTGTGACGTAAACTAAGGAATTATAAAATGAGCGATGTTTATGAGAATGTAATGAAAATTGATATGAAACTTTGAAAAAGACGTACATAATGTCAACTACGTAAGACCGTGTAAATTTTTATCAATTCTCTGTTGTGAAAGTGTAGAGCGTGTAGCGGTACATCTCTTGACCACTTTGCATTAGTGAACGCTTTTCAATGGCGTCGTTATTTGTTTTTGAAACTTTTCTCTGTCTTTGAATTCGTATTTTTGTCATCCTTGATTCATTTTTTACAGGATAACGTTCTCCTCATTTCAGGTGGCGTTGACAAAATTTATTTATTTGATTTTGATTGTCGAAAATCAATATTCGCCCATGATGACATCCATTATTTTATGTACCTTTATGATGTAATATATATAGCCTCGTATCCCTATTCCCCACTATCATTCTACCCTATTAAACACTCTTACCCCTGGATTCCACATCATTGTTTCATCTATACCACCTTGTCGCATACTAGTAAACCACGTCCTCAATTGTTTTATACTTAGATTTCCTACATATTTTTTACCCGCATGTTATCAACATTACACCCCACAATACTACATGTACTTTCATTTTGTACTTTATATTCTCATGTTATCAACACTACACCCCACAATACCTACATGTACTTTCATTGTATACCTTATATTCTCATGCTATCAACATTACACCTAGTAATACCTACATGTATATTCGCTATTTATATTATAACAGCTTTAATCTTCTTTTAGTGTCATGGCCGTGCAGTTCGTGCCGAAAACTCATTATTTCTTCAGTGCAAGTAAAGATAAAACGATAAAATATTGGGACGCTGACAGATTTGTTCATGTTACGACCTTAAAAGGTCATCATTCAGAAATATGGAGTCTTGCAATCAGCCATGACGGCGAGTTTGTTGTAAGTGTCAAGTATGGAAGGTTTTAGATAATGTTAAACATAAGTTTGCTTGATATGAATGAAAGAATGAACGAAAGACGTTATTATCAATAAGAGTACCATTTACTCAAAGATCAACACTTTTTCTTAACACTCCAGTTCCACATGCATAATATTTTATCTTATAGATCAGTGGGTCACATGATAAATCGTTAAGACTCTGGGAACGAACGGACGAACCGTTGTTTGTCGAAGAGGAGAGAGAAATGGTACTATACATAGATCTGTTGCTGGAGCTGCAAAAATATGCATATTGTACCTGTACTTTCAATGTTTATTTTAATTTTTCTATTTAGGAGAGAGAAGCAGCTTACGAAGAAAGCGCCGTAACAGGAGTTGAAACAATTGTAAGATTCTTTTTATTATGTAACATGAGATATGTATGTTCCATCTTGAGCCCAACTACTCTGTATTTGTTATATACTTTCACTATGGAAAATATCTTGTGGAAGTTGCATTTATTGCACTAAATAAATTCATTTATTTAAACCATGATGTTGTTTAGATTCCAGGTGAACTAGACACAGAAGCTGTTAAAGCTGGCAAGAAAACTATCGAGACGATCAAAGGAGTTAGTTTTGTTGTTGTATTAGCATTGCAAGTTAATTTGATTGGTTTTGTGCCCAGTCCCCCTGTAGTACCTGAAAGATACCTCAAAATTACACAGATGTATGGAAAACTCTAGTACACCAAAGACATGTGAAGACTGTGCATATCTGAGGCCAAGTTTTTAAGCTTACATTGAGACGCGGTACTTGAAGGATATTATAGTAGAATATAGATACTTGGAAGATAATATAGTATGATTAGGATACTTGGATGATATTATAGTAGAATATTGATTCTTGGAAGATAATACAGTATGATTGGGATACTTGGAGGATATTATAGTAGAATATAGATACTTGGAAGATGATACAGTAAGATAGGGATACTTGGAGGATAATACAGTATAATATACAATATACGCCTGGAGATTACTATGTTGATGTTTGTTCTCTTATCTCTTCATTAGGCTGAAAGAATCATGGAGGCCATTGAATTGTATAAGGAAGAAAGGCAGAAAGAACTTGAACATAAAGGGAGTCAAGTGACCAAAGACAAAACGGTAGGTTTTTTCTTTCTTGCTCTGCACATCTACAAAATGTTTATGTTATACGTTTAGACAATCTTAAATCTTAAATGAAAGATTTGTTATTTCTTGCTCTGCACATCTACAAAATGTTTATGTTATACGTATAGACAATCTTAAATCTTAAATGAACAATTTTAAATAAGCATGACTGGCATCATCACAAAACTTTCCTAGACTAAACACCCTAATTGGGGCAACGCCCTACACTGTTATTCAACCCTACCTGTGAAACCACTGCCAATATTTTCTTACTCTCTAATTTAACCGCGTCCTGCATCGTAATTTAACCCTACCCATAAAACCACTAATAATATTTTCTTATTCTTTATTTGAGGCAACGCCCTACACTGTTATTAAACTCTACCAATGAAACCACCATTATTTTCATACTGTTTAATTGGTACCACGCTCTGCACTGACCTACCATGAAACTACCACCAATATTTCCACACTCTCTAATTGGAACCACGCCCTTCACTATCGTCTAATTTATACAGAAAATCCACATACATTTTCTTTCCTTTGAACAGCTTCCAAAGCGCGTCATTCATCCGATTCTTGCTGCCTTTGGTAATGTCAGTGTAAGTTTACTATATCTTCAATGTTTCCATTTAAGAACAATATGAAGGCCACGTGATACAAGGTGAAAGCCACGTGCATGTTCAACATGATTAATGTAAATATTAATGTAATGGTTGATTGCAAGATTTACATACGTACGTACGTAGATAAGGAAAAAATGGATGAGATGGCTTTACATTTATAACAACTCTAGAAAAAATAAGAGTTAAATGTAAAATACACAAGATTTGTAATAATGAAATAAAATATCTTGACCACGAAGATGGAGGCCATAAATATTGTTGTTCTACGATTGAATGCCTGTCTATGTCAACCTCCTTTTCCCGGACCACATACTTACGACGTTTGTAAATTTTTTTTCTTTTCACAGCCTGTACAGTATGTACTTCTAGTGGTGAAAAAAGTAAAGTCAAGGTAAGGTTGAAGTATTGTAAAGAGCAGCAAATTATCCCGTGAAGAATCGTTGTTTGTACTAAAAGTTAATTTAGAGCATTTTAAAGGTGAAGTATGGCAAACTGTCTCGTTGGAGCTACTAAAGGAATTAAATATTAAGTGTTATTAGAATACAGTAGATAGGTATCTTAAGAAGCAAGTGTTTTCTACAATACATTTAAATTATTTAATTTTAGTGAACTTGAAGAATCATTGCTTGTGTTACCGTTTGACTATGTTATTGATGTACTGAAACTTCTTCTTGAGTGGATTAAGGTAAAGTGAAATGTATTTTGACTCCTGTGTCCTTACTTCACATGGTACAGGTTTCGTTTTCAAATTTTGCTCATCCCAGATGTACGTGATTGTTTAGAATGGTTGGGAAACAGAGTTAAGTTGTCGATGTCTGTTCTTTCTACTTCGGTAAGATTAAGACGTAATTTTATTTTTCGTTTCGATCGATATTTTTTCAATACGTCTGTCTTTAAATCATTTCCTAAGAATTTTATCATATTCCTTCAGTATTGCTGAATATATGATACAATTGGTGAGATACCTAGGTACAATGCTGGATATTTTTCATTTTTTCCATATTTTGTTACGATAGAATACATCACAACAAGATTATATCCACTCCTGAACTACTGCCAGTAATAGACTCTATCAGATCACATTGTCGTAGCCGTGTTCGCGAAAGGTTGAATGAAGGTTGGAAGTGTTAAAGTTTATACTGCATCACTATACGAAAAATAGAACGCTAGTTCGTCTTCATATATATAGTTCAGTTTATTTAGTCACGTGATATTTTTGTATATGTATATAAACTATTGACATTCCTCTGAGTTTTTAGTTACGATTATAGTTTTGTATTGAATCTTCTTATTTAATTAGCTCACTACATTAAATAAATGTTTGCTCAAACCGAACAATTTTGCTTAAAATTAACAGGTTATGGGCCCAGAGAGCGCCTGTTCGGTTTGAGGACTTGTTGAGTGTAATTTATAGATAAATTAGCCGTATTTTTGACAAGTTTTGACAATGGCGTCAGGTAGTGACGAACACGCAATGTTGTATCGAATCGAAAAATTTAATGGAGAGAACTTTCATCTTTGGAGATTTAAGTTACAAATGATCCTAGAAGATAAAGATCTTTGGGATATTGTTAATGGCGTCGAGGTTGAGCCTTCTGTTGAAGATTCTACTGAAACTCAACGCAAACAATTTCAAAGACGAGAAAGAAAAGCTCTCGCTACAATCTGTTTATCATTAAAGGACGAACAATTGTCAATAGTTCGATCGGCTAAAACAGCGAAGGAAGCATGGTCAAAATTGGAAGACCACCATGAAGTAAAGTCTTTGGCGAACAAACTGTTTCTTCGAAAGAAATATTTCTCGGCAACTATGGGGATTGATGAATCTATGACTGAGCATATTAATAAAATGAAAGCTTTGGCAAGTCAGCTTGAAGCGCTGGGTGCATCTATAACAGAGGATGATCAGGTTGCAACGCTCTTATGTAGCCTCCTGGAATCCTACAGTAACTTGATTACAGCTTTAGAGTCTCGTGCTGATGATTTAACATTGGAATTTGTAGTAGCAAGGTTGTTGCATGAAGACTACAAACGTAAAGAAAATTTATCAAGTGCAGATGCTGGAGAAGATGCTTTATTGTCAAAAAATGAGAGAAACAATAAAATAAAAATAAAATACAAGAAAAAAGGAAAATGTTACAATTGTGGAATCCCTGGACATTGGGCAAGAAATTGCAATAAACCCAAGAAAAATAAGTCAAGAGACTCCAAAGAAAGAAAAGAAGATACATCATTTAATGCATCTGTTGAACATGCATTATTTTGGTCATCGGAATCTAAAAATCATAAAGACTTTGAATGGTATATAGACTCAAGAGCATCCCAACACATGTCATATGAAAAGAAAATGATGGTTGGCTATGTTCATTTTGCAAGGCCACAAAAGGTACGTCTGGGAGATAATCGTGTTGTCCAAGCATTTGGAAAAGGAAATATTTGGCTTAACATCAAAGCTGGTAAGAAATATAAACCTGTAAGATTGGTGGATGTGTTGCATGTTCCAGACCTTGCGAAGAATCAATTTTCAGTAAGTGCCACGACTAAGCGAGGATATTCAATTCATCTTCAAGAAAGTGGATGTGTTATCTTTGACACATCAGGAACTGTCATGGGATCTGGTAAGCTACGAAATAGCTTATACATACTTGATGCAAGTTTAAAGAATGATAAATTCCATGATGTCAATATGGTTAAAAAAGATCATCAAGAGGATTTATGGCATCAGAGGTATGGTCATTTGAGTATAAAGAATTTGCAATTATTGAGAGATCACAAATTGGTTAATGGGTTGGATTTTGAGTCTACAAAAGAACCTAAGTTCTGTGAAGGTTGTGCAAAGGGCAAACAGAATCGAATTTCATTTCCCAAAGGACAAGCAACTCAAGCAAAGGAAATTCTTGAAATCATTCACAGTGACGTTTGTGGACCTATGCAAGAAAACAGTTATGGTGGTAGTCGTTACTATGTTACCTTTATTGACGATAAGTCCAGATTCACAGCTGTTTACTTTATAAAAAGAAAAAATGAGGTATTAGAGAAGTTTAAGGAATATGAAGCTATGGTTACAAATTTCACAGAGAAGAAGATCAAAATCCTTAGATCAGATAATGGCGGTGAATATAGATCCAAAGAGTTCATGAACTATCTTAAAGAAAAATTCAACATCAATTAAGTGTACCTAGAACACCACAACAGAATGGTGTATCCGAGAGAATGAACCGAACTATACAAGAAGCGGCTAGGTCCATGATGTGTCATGCAAATCTTGAGAAAAGGTTTTGGGCTGAAGCTGTATGCACAGCAGTCGTTATTAGAAATCGAAGTCCTACAGCAGCTGTTAATGGAATGACACCTTATGAAAGCTTCCATGGAAAGAAACCAGATGTATCGCATTTTAAGGTATTTGGATGTACTGCCTATATGCATGTATCAAAGGAAAATAGAAAGAAATGGGATTCGAAAACAAAGAGATGTATATTTGTTGGTTATAGTCTTTCAAGTAAAGGATACAGACTTTTTGACCTTGAGACTCAAAAGGTTTATATATCCAGAGATGTCTTGTTTAATGAAGATGAATTTATCAAACAAACAAAGAAAGAAATAGTTGATCTCAATGAAATGAATTCAAGATTTATTAAAGAAGAATTTACGATTACTAATCTTTCTTTACCTTCACCGAATCATAAAGACGATACCACAATAGATCCTAATCAAGACATGAATCAGTCAAACATTTTGCAAGAAACAGAAATCGAAGAACAACCACGATGTTCATTTCGTCAACGAAAACCTCCAGAAAGATATGGGACAGTGATTACTGGAAATTGGTGGGAAAGTAACACAGCATTCATAAATGAAGAGCTAAGTTTAACAGAACCCACAACCGTAGATGAAGCTCTAACTGGTCCTGATAAGAAGCATTGGAAATATGCCATGGATGATGAATACGCAGCTCATATCAAGAACGAAACATGGACATTAGTTGATCTTCCCGAAAAACGAAAAACAATCAATTGTCGTTGGGTATTTAAAGTAAAATACAACGCGGATGGATCCGTAGAGAGACATAAAGCTCGTCTAGTCGCAAAAGGTTTTTCTCAGGAACCAGGTTTGGATTACGACGAAACCTTTTCGCCTGTTGCAAAGTACAAATCAATTCGTTCTTTGTTGGCAATTGCGAACCAGCTTAATTTTGAGATACATCAGATGGACGTTTCTACAGCCTTTTTGAACGGTGAATTGGAAGAAGAACTTTACATGTCCCAGCCTGAAGGATACATAAAAAGGGAGAAAAACTCGTCTGTAAACTGAACAAGAGCATTTATGGATTGAAACAATCATCACGATGTTGGTACATCACCATCGACCAATTTTTGAAGGGTTCAGAATATCTACAATCAAAATCAGACCCTTGCCTGTATATAAAGCGAGAGGGAGATGATATTATGGTTATTGCCTCATACGTTCACGACATAAGTCTAGCCAGTAATAATTTCAAAATATTGCAAAGAGAAAAGGAAGCATTAAGAAAACGTTTTGAAATGAAGGATCTTGGAGAAATAAGTTGTTGTCTTGGAATTCAAGTTGAACGAGTTAGAGAAAGAAAAAGAATGAAATTACATCAATCGAAATATCTTACTAATTTATTAGCAAAGTTCGGTATGGATCAGTGTAAACCGGTTGCAACACCTGTTAATCAAGGAGCAAAGTTGCTACCCAATCAAGAAGAGCCAGTTGAAACTACTAAGTATCAAGCGTTGATTGGAGGATTGACATATGCAGTTAGTGGAACAAGACCTGACCTTGCACAAGCACTGGGAATGGTGAATCAATTTTGTTCGAAACCCGGAAAAGAACAATGGATAGCTGCAAAACGTATATTGCGATACGTCAAAGGAACAATTGATTACGGAATCGTATATGATGGAAAGAAAGAAGTTGATATAGACTTAAAAGGTTATGTTGATGCAGATTGGGGAAGTAATCCAAATGGAAGGAAATCGCAATCAGGATATCTGTTTACTTTATACGGAGGAGTAATCAGTTGGGCTAGTAAAAAGCAAAGTGTCGTAGCACTTTCATCAACGGAGGCAGAATATGTTGCTGCATCTTTGGCTTCTCAAGAAGCAATGTGACTACGTGCACTGCTTTCAGACTTAAGTTTTGTTCAAAGAAAACCCACTCCGATTAAAGAAGATAATCAAGGAGCTATAGCATTATCCAAAAATCCAAAGTATCATCCTCGAACCAAGCATATCGATATCAAATGTCATTATATCCATGATAGAGTATCTAATAAAGAAATACGTCTTGACTATTGTCCTACAGATGAAATGCTAGCAGATTTGTTGACCAAACCATTAGGGAAGACGAAATTTCAAAGTATGAGAGAACTCATTAAAGTTAGAAGAACTCTTTAAATGTTTAATTGATTAGTTACAGTTCATATTTTTCGAGAGGGAGTGTTAAAGATTATACTGCATCACTATACGAAAAATAGAACGCTAGTTCGTATTCACATATATAGTTCAGTTTATTTAGTCACGTGATATTTTTGTATATATAAACTATTGACATTCCTCTGAGTTTTTAGTTACGATTATAGTTTTGTATTGAATCTTCTTATTTAATTAGCTCACTACATTAAATAAATGTTTGCTCAAACCGAACAATTTTGCTTAACATTAACAGGAAGTTGTACGTTTAATAAACCGCAAGTCTCGCCAAATTTCTCTCGTAATTTTACAATGCGCTATACGACCGTTAATTTATTCGTGGTATATATTGTCGACACTTTCATGACTGTAAACTTAACACGAAAAAGTCGTCAATTTTGATTGGTTAAGAGCAATTAAGGCTTTCTTTCACAATACAGTGCCAATCTTAATACTGAGTTTGGCTTGGTATTAAAAAGGTTCATAGAATATTCTTTTGTGTATTAACAACAGAAAAAAGTATGCATTTAGAAACAAAAATATTCAAGAGTATGAAGATTTCATTTTTCTCTAGTTCTTTGATTTTTCCTAAATTAATCGTCTTGAGTTTTTGAATTGTGTATTTCAAACTGCCACAGATGACTTTTCAAGTTATATGAACTGAACAAATGACTTTTTAAATCATTTGAACTAAACAAATGACTTTACAAACATTTCAACTGAACAAATAACTTTACAAATCACCTGAACCTCCATAAATGACTTTTTAAATCATTTGAACTGAACAAATGGCTTTTCAAATTATATGAACTGAACAAATTTTCTTGAGTTTTTACATCGACGCCGATAAAACTATGGCACACTTGTAATGATTGCTTTATCTTTAGGATACTGTTGGATTCAATTTGGCGGGACTACAGTTAATTCAAAGACAGCTTGAGAATCGTGACGTCACATTCTTTGGCGAAACACGCGAGAGACTGGGACAAATACGAAAAAAGAAGAAGACGATTTTGAGGAAATTTCGATGAAGGTTGTTTTGTTGTTGATACTCTGACAACTAAAACGATTGTCTTTGAAAGTACACAATACCTGAGGTTGATTTCTGTCTATAGCCATCCTCGCAGATCCCTAACCCAAACTGTACCCCTAGAGGGACGCGTGAAATCCCCGTGTGCCCTTTAAATTACAATTTTCGTGATCAGCAGACGTTTAAATTTTGCATGATTCAGCAGTTATTGATACTGGATCAGGCTTAAAAGCTATAGAAAGGAATTTCGTTCTTGGTATTTTTATAACTAAATATTGGGCTAGCCTGACATGGACAATCGGAGTTTTTTACTTCTATGACATTGAAATACAATTTTTGTGCCTCTTATTCTAGCTCTCAGCTACATAAGTAATCTTACTGCAAACTGATTTCAGAAAAGTTAAATATAAATGAAAGTGAGATCATCAAATTCAACATCACAACTAACGGTGAATACCTCCATCGAATGAACATATAGAATTAAAATAAGTTATTACATTACGTAAATTACATATTTCATAGTTATATAAAAGAAGAGTGTCACAAAAATTAAGGGAGTTATTACAACTATAAAAAAGAAGAAATACTGAATCAATTAACAATTATCAAGCAATTCACCCATCTACAATACTTATAAACAAAAAATGTATTTTATAGTTACCAAAATGAATACAGAAAAAAACTGCATCTTCATATGACAAAGTAGTCTTCTGGTCATTTCAGCATTCAACAAAAGGGAGGTAAAATTGTTATTGTTCCTTTAAGATATGGATTTACTCCACAGATATAATAATACACTAGATAGTGCAACGGCTTACATTTCATAAGTAGTGGTTGAAGCCGGGCAAATTTACTTCCGGAGCCCCAAAGTAGTGAGAATCAATATGGCGTTGTATTAGAAAATATCTGGTCAAAGCTGATATCTTGCAATTACTTGCAAGTCACGACGGTTACATAAACTGGTTTACTCTATTAATGAAAAAAATCAATGTGACCATAGTTTTTCAAGAAAAAGATAGCAGAATACGCCAATACATCGCCGTAAAATTGATTTCAAGTGTAGCTCGATTTGAAAGCATCAGCAGCGACGAAGGCTTAAGATACTGGAATTTGCACATCTAAATATCGTATCACAGCACAATCTGCCACAAAATGCTCAATCGCACGTCTTTGAATTATCTTCCGATATTTATTGTTAAGTAAAACGAGTTGGAGATAACAGTTTGAAAGATTTTTCACGATTTATATAAAGTATATTGTTCACTGTGCATAATTAAATATTGCACTGGATTATTGTACCAGAAATGCATTTTTCTGGTGTTTCTGGTCGGCAAACGAATATAGCGATGTCACGATGTGAGTAATTAATACGTTCAGAAATTATTGACAGAAAGAATGTGAAGAGTCTACCTCGAAGAGTCTATGTCTTGCTTGTCTATGTCATAGAGTCTGTCTTGCTTCTTCGGAATTTGTTTTATATTATGAGTCTACCTCTGTTACACCAAATTTTTTGTGAAGTATAAAATAGCAGGTCACTTGTGAAACTGTTGATACCACAGATTGATACAATACACTCTGTCCAACACGGGGAAAAAATTTACTTGTTAAAGCAAGAAGAGTCACCAGACTTGTAGTATTGACTGTGTTTTACACATATATATAAACAATGTATTGTCATAGTCTAAACCAGTGGGTTATATGGCCACTGTCCACAGTGCTTAATGTACTGTTATGGTGATGTTATGCTACTGTTTTCAACATTTTTATTGTCTTTTTTACCATTCAGGCATGTATATGCATATAAAACTTTCTACACATTCTTGTTATTGAAAATATCAAACCTAAATTATTTATTCTGAGCAAAATATTTAATTTGTGCTTGTAACATGTGTCAATTTCTGACTGATTTTTGTAATATGCCTGTTCTATTACAATACATCCATAGATCGAGTATGATATCGCTGTATTTGCCACACGAACTAAGCCACACTATCGCAGATTGTGCTGTGATACGATATTTATATGTGCAAATTCCAGTACTTAAGCCTTAGTCGCTACTGATGCTTTCAAATCGAGCTACACTTGAAATCAATTTTACGGCGATGTATTGGCGTATTCTTCAATTTTTTTCTTACAAACTATAGTCACAATGATTTATTTCATAAATAGTGCAAAAAAGTTGATGCAACCTCCGCGATTTGCTAATAATTGCGAGATATTAACTTGGACCACATATTTTCTAATACAACGCCATATTGATTCTCACTACTTTGGGGCTCCGGAGTAAATTTGCCCGGCTTCAACTTTTATGTCAGTTGCACTATCTAGTGTATTATTAGATCTGTGATTTACTCTCATGTAAATAACCCAACAAACACTTCACTCATTTTAAGGAGCTTTACAACTTCAGACTAGATAGATTGCAAACGTATTAATCTCATATACAATGTAAAAGTTCCATACAAGTTTCTTAGCTAACAGAAAAAACTGTTCCAGTAAATGAGTATTGAAAACTTGAAAATACAAATGTTTGTATTGAATATTATCAAGAATATATTTAAACCTTATTTATATACAACTGTTGTTGTTAGGACTTTAGTGTAAATTTTTTCCTTAATTCACGGAACCACAAATCCATTTCTTCTATCTCGTTGTAAATTTTCTCAAACACGGAAGTTTTTCTAGCAACTAGCAATAAAAAGCTTCAGTGTTAATTTCTATAGTATTGCTCGTTCATAACAATCTTTTGCTTTTTCGTACTCTCCCGTATGTTTGTAAACCAAACCCAGATTATTGTAAGTTGTTGCACTATTAAAATCGTCAGGTCCAAATGCTTTCGTTTGAATTTCCATCGCTCGTTCATAAAAATCTTTGCTTTTTTGTACTCTCCCATATTACTGTAAACAGAACCTAGATTGTTGTAAGTTGTCGCAATATCAACATGGTCCGGTCCAAATGCTTCCGTTTCAATTTCCATCGTTCGTTCATAAAAATCTTTTCGTTTTTTGTACTCTGCCATATCACTGTAAACAGAACCTAGATTGTCGTAGGTTATCGCAATTTTAACATTGTCAGGTCCAAATGCTTTCGTTTGAATATCCATCGCTCATTCATAAAAATCTTTTCCTTCTTTGTACTCTCCCATATTACTGTAAACAGAACCCAGATTGTTGTACGTTGTCGCAATATAAACATGGTCAGGTCCAAATGCTTTCGTTTGAATTTCCATCGCTTGTTCGCAAAAAACTTTTGCTTTTTCATACTCTCCCATTTCTATGTGAACCAAACGCAGATTGTTGCTCGTTGTCGCAATATGAACATGGTCAGGTCCAAAAGCTTTTGTGTAAATTTCTATTGCTCGTTCGAAAAAATCTTTTGCTTTTTCGTACTCTCTCATATCTTGGTGAACTAAACCCAGATCGTTGTAAACTGTCGCAATATAATCATGGTCAGGTCCAAATGCTTTTCTGTAAATATCTATTGCTCGTTCGTAAAAATCTTTTGCTTTTTCGTACTCTCCTATATCTTTGTGAACGAAACCCAGATTGTGGTAAGTTGCTGCAAAATTAACATGGTCAGGTCCAAATGCTTTTGTGTAAATTTCTATTGCTCGTTCGTAAGAATCTTTTGCTTTTTCGTGCTCTCCCATATCTTTGTGAACCAAACCCAGATTGTTGTAAGTTATTGCAATATTAACATGGTCAGGTCTGAATGTTTTCGTGTCAATTTCCATCGCTCGTTCATAAAAATCTTTTGCTTTTTTGTACTTTCCCATAACTCTGTAAACCGAACCCAGATGGCGGTACGTTGTTGCAATATTAACGTGGTCAGGTCCAAATGCTTTCGTTTGAATTTCCATCGCTCGTTCGTAAAAATCTTTTGCTTTTTCGTACTCGCCCATGTCATTGTAAACTAAACCCAGATTGCAGTACGTTGTTGCAATATTAACATGGTCAGGTCCAAATGCTTCTCTTTCAATTTCCATTGCTCTTTCGTAAAAACTTTTTGCATTTTTGTACTCTCCCATTTCTTGGTAAACCAAACCCAGATTGTTGTAAGTTGTCGCAATATTAACATGGTCAGGTCCAAATGCTTTCGTTTTAATTTTCATCGCTCGTTCATAAAAATCTTTTGCTTTTTCGTACTCTCCTATTTTACTGTAAACCAAACCCAGATGATTGTACGTTGATGCAATATTAACATTACCAGGTCCAATCGCTTTTGTTTGAATTTTCATCGCTCGTTCATGAAAATCTTTTGCTTTTTCGTACTCGCCCATGTCATTGTAAACCAAACCCAGATTGTTGTACGTTGTCGCAATATCAAAATGATCAGGTCCCAATGCTCGCGTTTGAATTTCTGTCGCTCGTTCATAAAAATCTTTTGCTTTTCGTACTCTCCCATATCATCGTAAAACGAACCCAGATTGCAGTACATTGTCGCAATATTAACATAGTCAGGTCCAAATGCTCTCGTTCGAATTTCTATCGCTCGTTCATAAAAATCTTTTGCTTTTTCGTACTCTCCCATTTCTTTTGAACCAAACCCAGATTGTTGTAAGTTGTCGCAATATTAACATGGTCAGGTCCAAATGCTCGCGTTTGAATTTCCATTGCTCGTTCATAAAAATCTTTTGCTTTTTCGTACTCTCCCATTTCTTTGTGAACCAAACCCAGATTGTTATACGTTGTCGCAATATTAACATGGTCAGGTCCAAATGCTTTCGTTTTAATTTTCATCGCTCGTTCATAAAAATCTTTTGCTTTTTCGTACTCTCCTATTTTCCTGTAAACCAAACCCAGATTGTTGTACGTTGTCGCAATATCAACATGATCAGGTCCAAATGCTTTTTTGAAAATTTCTATTGTTCGTTCGTAAAAATCTTTTGCTTTTTCGTACTCTCCTATTTTACTGTAAACCAAACCCAGATGATTGTACGTTGATGCAATATTAACATTACCAGGTCCAATCGCTTTTGTTTGAATTTTCATCGCTCGTTCATGAAAATCTTTTGCTTTTTCGTACTCGCCCATGTCATTGTAAACCAAACCCAGATTGTTGTACGTTGTCGCAATATCAAAATGATCAGGTCCCAATGCTCGCGTTTGAATTTCTGTCGCTCGTTCATAAAAATCTTTTGCTTTTTCGTACTCTCCCATATCATCGTAAAACGAACCCAGATTGCAGTACATTGTCGCAATATTAACATGGTCAGGTCCAAATGCTCTCGTTCGAATTTCTATCGCTCGTTCATAAAATCTTTTGCTTTTTCGTACTCTCCCATTTCTTTTTGAACCAAACCCAGATTGTTGTAAGTTGTCGCAATATTAACATGGTCAGGTCCAAATGCTCGCGTTTGAATTTCCATTGCTCGTTCATAAAAATCTTTTGCTTTTTCGTACTCTCCCATTTCTTTGTGAACCAAACCCAGATTGTTATACGTTGTCGCAATATTAACATGGTCAGGTCCAAATGCTTTCGTTTTAATTTTCATCGCTCGTTCATAAAAATCTTTTGCTTTTTCGTACTCTCCTATTTTCCTGTAAACCAAACCCAGATTGTTGTACGTTGTCGCAATATCAACATGATCAGGTCCAAATGCTTTTTTGAAAATTTCTATTGTTCGTTCGTAAAAATCTTTTGCTTTTTCGTACTCTCCCATATCATAGTAAACCCCACCCAGATGGCAGTACGTTGTCGCGATATTAACATGGTCAAGTCCAAATGCTTTTTTGTGAATTTCTATTGTTCGTTCGTAAAAATCTTTTGCTTTTTCGTACTCTCCCATATCATTGAAAAGCGAACCGAGATAGCAGTTCATTGTCGCAATATAAACATGGTCAGGTCCAAATGCTTTTGTGTAAATTTCTATTGTTCGTTCGTAAAAATCTTTTGCTTTTTCGTACTCTCCCATTTTTTGGTAAACCGAACCCAGATTGCAGTACGTTGTCGCAATATTAACATGGTCAGGTCCAAATGCTTTCGTTTTAATTTTCATCGCTCGTTCATAAAAATCTTTTGCTTTTTCGTACTCTCCTATTTTACTGTAAACCAAACCCAGATTGTTGTACGTTGTCGCAATATCAACATGATCGGGTCCAAATGCTTCTGTTTGAATTTCCATTGCTCTTTCGTGAAAATCTTTTGCTTTTTCGTACTCTCCCATATCTTCGTGAACCAAACCCAGATTGTTGTACGTTTCTGCAATATGAGCATGGTCAGGTCCAAACGCTTTTGTTTGAATTTTCATCGCTCGTTCATGAAAATCTTTTGCTTTTTCGTATTCTCCATTCATCAAAAACAACCCACCAAGCTCGTTGTATGAATAGGAAACATCAACATGATTGACACCTAACGCTCTAGTTTGAATTGTTATTATATTTTTAAGTACATTCATGGCGTGTTCATAGTTGCAAAATTTTTCTAATACATTTACAAAGTAATTGGCAATTTTCAAATTTTTTTCATCAAGTTTTTGTTTTCTATAGAAAAAAAATAACGATTTCTCGTTTATCAACTTATTTTGAAAGTGCTTAAATGACGAATTGTTTAAGAATTTAATAAGATGCGGAGTTATTTTGATTTGATCTTCTCTGTCTTTAAAATGATAGAGTGCCCTAGCGACTTGACACGCAAGTAGAGACATCTTAGTCGAATTTTTTGCTTTTTGTTTACTGCAAGAGGTCTGCCAAGATTGGTAATTTATGATAGCTTCATGTACAACCCGATGCAGGCGGATGTCGTTGTTTTCCGATTGAAGAATTAACGAACAATGCTTTAATTGAAGACATATCTCTTCTGCAGATATATGTGGGTCAATGCTTTTAATATATTGTATGATAATATCTTGTGGTAACGGATCGAAAGATATTATCGAGAAAAGACCAAAAATTTTTGCCATTAATATGGATTCTTGAGTACTTTTTTGTACTGCCAACTCAACGGTTTTTAATAAAGTTGAATTACCTCCAGAATATGCTGTATTGATCTTTTGAAATGTGGCATCCATGCTCTGTCGCTCTCCTTCATTCAACTTATCGAAATATTGTTCCCACGTGAATTCCAGATTTGCACTTTTTACACTACCTACGTAGTAAGCAGCACTTGCCAGGACCAATGGTTGACGATCTAATTTTTCTGACAAATTCTTCAAAAACTCTTCATCATGATTATGAACATCGGTATAAACAGATAGAAGTTGACGACATTCTTTATCATTCATACCATGACTAATTGAAATGTGTTTGTTTAGATTTCCATCTAGTGGTATAGCATCTGTATTTTGAACAGTTACTACAATTTGTCCATTTTTCCAATTATGATCACCAACTTGAGGTAATAATTGATAAATTTTATCAAGTTGAACCACGTTATCTACAAGAATCCACCATATTTTCCAAGATTTCAGTTTTTGTGTCAGCAAGACATGAAATTGTTTGATTCTGTCTTCGCTGCTTTCTCCCTTTTTTAAAATATTTTCAAGAAAATGTTCATGGATGTTCAAACGTTGACAAAGTTCATTGTAAGTTTTTAAGAGAGAGTCAGCATCTTTTCCTTCGAGTGTCATCACAAATGTAGTTTTATTTTCCCAGTCAACAGAGTTAAACATTTTGTCGCAAATTTGTCTGGCTAATTGAGATTTACCACTGCCAGGATTACCAGAAATATAGTAATATGTCAGTTCATTATTGTTAGTACTGCGCAAGTTATTGAGATCTGCTGTGATTTGATTAAGTAATTCTGTACGTTGAACTACATGGTGATTTGGTTTGCAAGGAAGTACTTGAAAAGAATTAAATGTGTTTCTTTCATTTTTTATTTCATTAATTTCATTGAATGAAAATCCTAGAGCTTGAAACGAATTTTCAATATCACAAACCATTTTGTCAAATTCGGTATCAGATACTCTTCCAAAATTATTATGAATAAATTTGTTTCTAACAATACGAAGTGCATCAACTGCAGAACTAACTTTTGTGTTAACTTTTGTTCCTATTGAGTTGGAAAACAATATTGCTGCAAACAGTGTTGTACAATCCCACTTACTGGTGTCACCATCTTGAAAATTTGGCAGAATATGTTTGTCATGAGGTGGCTTTTTTGTTTTTTCAATATTGAACAACTTCTGACCACTAACGTTTGTATTTTCCCATACTCCAAGGGATCCTTCGTAATGAGTGTTCCACTCTACGATAAATATATCAACAAGTTTCTTTTTAACAGCATCTGTAAGTATTTTCTGCATGTAGCAGTTATTCCTTTCTTCTTTTGACTCCATCTACGGATCATAAAATGATCATAAGATGAGCAATAATTATTTATAAATACAATTTATGGACAACTGAAATAGTTGAAGATTGAGTTGATAAATTTCCAGTTGTACATGAAAATTGTCAACCAATGTGGCAGCAGAAACGTAGAAAAATATTTTCGTGCATTTAGGTATTTTTGTGGCAGTTTTGAAAACTTATTGAAAACCTTCATAAGTGTAGCTAAGAGCAATGCAAGTAGTTGCTCTATTGGTGTGTTTGCAAATCGATCTGATCTCTACCAATTAAATCAATCAATCAATTGAAGGGAATTTGCAGATCACTCAAATTCATGTTAGAGGAAAAGTTAAAACGTTTTTCTAATTTGCCTGTTTCGCATCATTGCACGAAATTATGCAATTTTCATATTTGAGAAAGTTGCTATAAAAACATGTCAAGTATTCCATAGAAGCACTACCTTTCACTAGTGAAGGGTATAACTGAGCAAAAAGTATACTTCAATCTAAGTATGGGAAGGAGTCAGAAGTGATCAAATCCTACACCAAAGAAATTCTTGACTTACCCAATATACCAGAGGCCAATGTACAGAAGGTGCATTAATTCTGTGAAAGACTCACCTATTGCGTACAGTCTTTAGAAACTATGGGAGAACGGGAGCAGATCAATGGAAGTGTTGCAATGACATTGGACAAATCGTCTGGTATAAGAAGCTACTTGGTTCACACAGATCCCAACTGGGATGAATGGGATTATATTAAGCTAATAGAAGCCTTAACCTTGTGGACTAGACGAAATCCTAGAAATTCTATATGTGAAGGAGAAAAAAAGAAAATCGAAACCGGCTCCGAGAAAAACTATTCAACATTAAATTGGGTCAGCGTAAATGTGTCTATTGCGATGCAAAGGATCACAAATCAGCTGACTGCCCAAAGGTGACAGATATCAAAGAAAGAAAACAACTATTGGCAAAAAAGCGCCGCTGTTTCAAGTGTACCGGAGAAGGGCAGAGAGCTGCAGATTGTACCAGTAAAATAACATGTCAACATTGCGAGAGAAGACATCATACTTCTTTGTGTGACCAAGCAGTGGGTAAGAAGACCCTGATGACCGCAACAAAAACCAACGAAGGAGTCTTTCCAGTCTTGACAGTGAAAGTTAATGGGATCATGTGTAGAACATTAATTGATTCTGCAAGGTTGGTAAGTGTCCTTGGCCTAAAAACCTGTTGACATAACAACTAAACAAGTGGACATGCTCCTTAGTAGTAGTGTAGAATGTCTAGAGACCTATGCAAATAAAGTGGAGTCACTCGCTAGAGAGTTTGGTATGGAAGTATATTTAATAAAAGTGGAAAAAAGTGAACTTTTATCAGTAAAAAACCCCCAATACAACCATATGATTTCCAAATACTCACACTTAAAAGGGATTGATATCCAAGACTGTGACACGAAGGCTCAGTTTCCAGTACATGTCGCTCTTGGGGGAGGGGAGTATGCCGGAATAAAAACAAAGAATCATCTCCGAATAGGCAAAGATGGCGAACATATCGCGGAGTTGACCAAGCTGGGATGGTTTTAGATGTACCCTGGGAAGGAATGTGATCATAATCATATGCTACTAACACAAACCACTCAAAAGGATTATGAGAAGTTGCGCCGGTGGGATGTTTTAGGACTTGCTGACAACTCAGAACACGATCAAATCTCAGTGTATGGAGAGCTTAAGGAGCAATTGGTCAGGAGTTCGGAAGGTTGATATGAGTCTGGTCTACTGTGGCAAGGTAACCATCCTCCCTTACCATCCCACAAGGAAGGAAGCTTGCGACGACTCAACTTTCTTGTAAAGAGATTAGACCGTGAAGGCATGGCCAGTGAGTATACCAAGACTATCGAGGAACAAGTCAGCAAAGGGGTAGTTGAATTTGTAACTGAGCTCCGAGTTGTGGAGATATAGAAAAGGCATTCCTCCAGATCCGGATAAAAGAACAAGAAAGAGATGCCTTACGGTTCCACTGGAAGATTGACAGTCAACCTGAACCCTTGACATATAGATTCACAAGAGTCGTCTTTGGCCTAACCTGCCTTCCATTTCTACTTGGGGGAGTGTTAGAGCAACACCTAGAAACTTGGAAAAGAAAGATGCCAGATATCGTTGAGGAACTGAAGAAGTCTATGTATGTAGACGATCTGCTTAGTGGGGAACAAACAGTAGACGAAGCCAAAGAAAGAAAAAGGAAATCAATCAATGTATTCAACGACTCCAAGTTCAATTTGCATAAGTGGAACTCAAATGCCCATGAGCTTAAAGCGGATGAAAAAGAAAAGGATGATGAAAAAAAACTTTAGCAAAACAACAACTTGGAACAAAAACTGGAGAATCTAACGTTTTGGGACTGTTATAGGAAAAGAAAAGTGACGAGATTTCCATAGTGATCCCATCAGAGAATTCGACAAAAACAAAACGAGAAGTACTAAGTAGATTGGTAAAGTTTTGTGACCCTTTGGTAATTACATCACCCTTTTTTCTAGAGGGAAAGATAATTTATCGCGATATCTGTAAGGAGAAGTTCTTATGGGATGTACAGCTAAGCCATTGTTTGAAGTATCGATGGGATTGCTGGGAGAACAATCTTCCGTGTGAAGTAAGTGTTCCGCGATCATTAGCTGGGTTCCGAGAACCAATCAAGTCGTTAAAACTGCATGCATTCGTGGATGCTAGCACACAAGGTGTAGGAGCTGCATTGTACTCAGTTATTCGTGAAGAATTGGGAACTACTCAAATTCTAATTTCTGGTAAAAGTCGTCTGTCAAAAGAGGGCCTAACTGTTCCACTGCTAGAACTTGTGTCAGCACACATGGCAGCGAACCTTCTTGAGAATGTGCGAAACGCATTGGATCATTTACAACGGCCGCAAAGTTTTGCATGGCTAGACAGCACTGTCACCTTGCATTAGATCCTTGGACGTGGTCAGTATGAGCAGTTTGTCTCAAACCGCGTCCGTAAGATACACCTACATCTTGAAATAAAATGGCAATATGCGCCCATCCGAAAATCCTGCAGATTTGGCCAGCAGAGGTGGAAAATTAAATCAGATGTGGCTCTACGCTCCAGAATGGTTATCCGATATGAGCAGATGGCCAAGTAATATAGCCACAACTCCATCTACTGCAACAGAAGCAGAAGCGACAGTTTCCTAAAAAAGTATCGCAATGACAACAAAACAGTACAGTGGTGATGTTTTGGAACAGTTATTAAGAAAATGCTCACTTAAACGAGCACCACGAGTGTCGTCAAGGCTCTTCAGGTTCATAAACAATTGTACACAAGGGGAAAAGAAAACAGGATCATTATCCTTACCGAGATTGAAGAGACTAAGATGAAATTTTTCAAACAAGCCCAAAAGCAAGGTTAATTACAACCTAAGTACGAGCAACAATACAAAGAATTTATTCTTACGCGTAATACAGAAGGGATTCTAGAATGTCGTGGCCGAATTGTGGGTCACTATCCTATCTACCTTCCCACATATTCCTTGCTCGCTCAAAGGGTGGTGGAAAAATTGCATCGTGAAACGTTACATGGAAGTGTTGAGTTAACAATGGCTGCTGTAAGAGAGTATTGGGTACCTAAGTTAAGAAGCCTTGTAAAGAAAGTTAGAAAGGAGTGCTTTGGTTGCAAAAGATATTGAGCGACATCAGTTCCAACACCCCCTCCTGGAAAGTTACCCGAAGACCGGACTTGTGGCAAAACAGCGTTCGAGGTAATTGGCGTAGATTTTGCGGGACCAATACGTTACAAAAAGAAGTCAAGCTAGGATTGCAAAGCATATATGGCGTTGTTTTCATGTAGTCTAACTCGAGCAGTGTACTTGGACATGATGCCGGACTTATCTGCTTCAACGTTCATACCAAGTTTGAAACGGTTTTAAACCAATGGAATTAGCTTGTGATCGACAGAGCCATTAAGAGAGACCTGATCTTAATCTAGACGATAAACCATTTAAACCAAAGCGTAAGGCAGCTGAAAATGCCGCGGGGATTATCCAATCGATTGCTGACGAAGAAAACGAAGAGATTTGAAACACTCCATAGATCAGCAACCCATATAGATATACATCTTATCTTCAGATGTTCAGGGGGAGTGTGTTTGAAATAAGTTATTTTATTTGATTGTCCTAGTGACAGAGAGACAAATTCTCCTTAATTATAATTTTTGTCAACCAATAGACTTTGCAAAATTTTGAGTGATGTTTTGTTGTGAATGGGTTGAAGATATAGTCTGAGTGAGTGAGCAATATGTATATGAGATAAACATTGCAAGAGAATAAAGTTCTTTATTCATCAGGCTTGAGTTGTTGCATCCATTTGACATAATCAAAGGAATATTGCCTGGGCGACAAGTAAGATTCACAAAAAGATCTTTAAGATTATGTTGACTGTTTTTGGTTGCCAATTCAGAGTATGTTTAAAGAAGATTTGTAATTTGTATAAGACGTAACAAATTAATGAAAAAAGTAAATTTGTACACGTCTTGATAAAAGCCATTTTACAAAAAGTAAAATTATTTCACATAATGACATGCATATCTAACATTCTTTGACGTGTCATTATTTTGACTCATCTTGCCAATTTGTAGCTTCTCCACACAAATAATATTTAAATAAACTTTTTTAATGTGTAGTTTATGTTAATGTGAGAAAGGTCGGTACTTTCCAATGGTAAAATGTCTAAGTAAAATACCGTTTGTTTAAAAATTTCATCAAAATTAACAAAAGTTGTCCGTATAACACATGCGTAGTACTAAAATTATTGATATAAGTCATTTGTGACAGATTACATCAAAACAGACCAATACAGATAGAATTTAAAATCAACATACCTTGGCAAATTAAGAAACCTTAAAGACGACACAACCAACTACATGATGTCTTTGCTTCTGCTTGATAATAAAGAAATTGGAATGTTTATTTGAAGCTTGATTTTAATCACCTGCTGTTTTTATTGTACAATATTGAATTCTGTTCATACCCAATAGAATATGAATTGCAAATTTTTATTTTAGCTATGACTGAAGCAAACACAAAGAAGTATTTACTTGGAAGCTTTATGCCATAAACCTTTCACAGTTTACTATGATTTATTTCATTTATTGAACATCCTGACTTAAATACAAACTAACTGAAATAATCATAAAGGAAGACGGGGAAGCCAGCCTTTTACAAGTAAGATAGCTCAAAAATTAAAGATTTATATTTTAGGAAGTTAAGAAAATCGATAAACAGAGCTTCTCTGAAACTGTCTGCGTTCCACCTTTGAAACGTGCTCATTGAAGTTTTGTCATTTTGTAAACTTTTGATGCAGATAAACAAATTATTTGATCAGGGGCGCGAGAAGCATGTAAAAGTTGGGGAGCTCAAGATTTGAGGGGCGGTCTTTGTTTAAAAAGGGAATTTCAGAGTAATTAATCTCGAAGTCTCTACTTTCGAATAATTTTGTTACATCTCAGTAATCAGAGATACTTGAAAATTGATAGCGTTTAGACTTGATAGTTTACCATGCAAAGTTTTGTCATTTTGTGAACTTTTGACGCAAACAAATATTTTAAATAGTCTACCCTACAACAAGTTTAACAATTATAGACGAGAAAAAAATCACGTGTACTATCACGTGAAGAAGTGAGCTTTTCTCTCAAAGTAGGCGTAATTTCTAAAGACATACTTAGTAAAACGTTTTTATGTCATCATCTGTGTTATGAATAAGATATGAATGGGGAAAAAATTCTTGATAACAGCCATGTTTAAATAAAATTTAAATTATTGCACATAATGATATGAAGTAAATGGTTTAAACCCGGGAGCGTCGTTACATGTTTGTAAATGTAGATCGTCCAGGTTGGTATTGTCTCGAGAAGGACTGTTTTTGTATTTGTTGATTGACGTTTCGATAACCTTTGCGGTAGTCATCTTCAGAGTAAACGTCAGGTAAGCCGTATTTGTTATCTGCTTCTTACGTCATTGTATTGTGTGTACAGGAAATGTGTGGGTGTGAATTGTGTATTGTATTAGTGATTTGGTTAGCACTATTTTCCACCCAGCAAACCGCCCTTTACTTTGAAATATAATATTTTACACAATCGGAAATAAATTAAAGATGGCGGCTAATGGGAAAGAACCAAAAGCTAAAAGGAAACCATGCATGCACTTGTGCTAGGTCGTTTTGAGATGGCGAGTAATTTTATATTTTTACAATACAGTTTTTAATATCAACGTATGAAAATATTTACAGATAAATATTGCAGTATAAATTTTCATGCAACCACCTTAAGTTATAAACTTATAATCCAGGCTGGAAAATATGTCGTTTTTCGACGATTGTGTAAAATATTATATAAAATATTATATTGTGTAAAATATTAGATTGTGTAAAATATTATATTGTGTAAAATATTATATTTCAAAGTAAAGGGCGATTTGCTGGGTGGAAAATAGTGCTAACCTAGTGATTTAGTGTGAAGTGTAATGTTTTTAGTTGATCGTTTGTTTATATTGTGACTAAGTAGTTTGTCTCTCTTCTCTTGGCTTGGTTTCGCGAACGAAGATTTTATGAAGGGGGCTGTCCACGTCGACTACAGGCACGCTCGTGGCTAACAAGTCCGATGCGAGACAAACAGGTTCGGCCGCAGCGGCTACAGTCAAAGGTCACGTCAGGTACGGCTGCTGAAGCTTCCCGGTTCTTCCTCCTGCGCGTTTCTCCCTCAGGTTCTCTGTACGAGAGTCCTCTAAGGGGGAGACAGCCTGGTGGACAGTACGACGCCAGGCATCACGGTTAGCAGCAGGGACTTCTTCAGAGAGTCTTTGTAGCGTTTCTTCGGGGCCCCTCTGTCACGGTGGCCAGTGGAAAGTTCGCCATACAAGGCAATTTTGGGCAGGAATTGATCATCCATTCTGGAAACGTGCCCTGCCCAACGTAGCTGCGACTTCAGTAGCATGGCCTCGATGCTGGTGATCTCCGCCTGTTTGAAGACCTCAAAATTGGTGACGTAGTCACTCCAGTGTATGTTGAGGATGGTGCGGAGACAGCGGTGATGGAAACGCTCAAGCAGGCGTAGGTGGTGACGGTAGATTACCCACGACTTGGAGCCGTACAAGAAGGTGGTGAGTACGACAGCTCTGTACACGCTGATCTTGGTGCCCTTCTTCAAAGAATTGTTGTTCCACAATCTGTTATACAGTCTGCCAAAAGCGCTGCTTGCCTTGGCCAGTCTGTTGTCGACCTCCCTGTCGAACTTCCTATCTGATGTGATAACACACCCCAGGTAGGTGAACTGGTGAACGCTTTTCAGCTCAGTCTCGCCGATGGTAATGTGAGGAGGGCGGTACTCTACCCGAGGTGCGGGCTGATGGAGGACTTCCGTCTTTTCAAGCTGATCTCGAGTCCGAATAGCTGGACAGCCTGTGCAAAACAGGACGTGAGGCGCTGCAGGGCTCTTTCGGTGTGGGCAACAAGGGCAGCGTCGTCGGCAAAGAGAAAGTCTCGGATCATCTGCTCATGGGTCTTTGTATGGGCTTGCAGCCTCCTGAGGTTGAACAGGCTGCCGTCAAGGCGATAGCGAATGTAGACAGCTTCGTCATCGTCAAGGTCTTCTGTGGCTTGCCTAAGCATCATGCTGAAGAAGATGGTGAACAGAGTCGGAGTCAAGACACAACCCTGTTTCACGCCGTTGACGATAGGGAAGGGTTCTGAGAGGGGGCTGTTCAACCTGACTTGGCCGCTTTGGTCTTCATGCAGCTCGGTGATCATACTGAGGAACTTTGGGGGGCATCCGAAGCGCTCCATCATGAGCCAAAGTCCCTTCCTGCTCACTGTGTCGAAGGCTTTCGACAGGTGTAGAGTCCTTTGTTCTGTTCCCGGCACTTCTTTTGCAGTTGCCTGAGGACGAAGACCATGTCTGTGGTACCCCTGTTTGCTCTGAAGCCACACTGGTTTTCTGGGAGGTGGTCTTCTGCGATGATAGGTATTAGCCTGTTCAGGAGCACACGAGCAAGGATTTTTCCTGTGATCGAAAGCAGAGTGATCCCCCGGTAGTTGGAGCAGACTGACTTTTCCTCCTTGTTTTTGTACAAGGTAACGATGGCTGCATTACGGAGGTCTCTTGGAAGCTTTCCTTGTTGTTCCCAACAACAGACAAGGAGTTCGAGGAGCTTTCTGTGTAACGCTGGGCCTCCATCTTTCCAGATCTCTTGTGGGATGCCATCAACTCCTGCTGCCTTGCCACTCTTAATCTTTTCTATGGCTTCTGTGAGTTCCTTCATAGGGGTGGTTCGTCCAATTCCACTATAACTGGGAGCTGAGAGATGCGGAGGATTGCTGAGTTCTGAACGACTCGATCAGCACTGAAGAGGGCGTGGAAGTGCTCGGACCAGCGACTCAGAATAGACGCCCTGTCTTTGAGGAGCGCCTCACCGTCCGCACTGCGCAAAGGACTCTGGGCGTGGTGCGTAGAGCCGAACACTGCCTTAAGGGCTTCGTAGAAGCCTCTGTAGTCACCAGCGTCTGCGCATTGCTGAGTTCATTCTGCGAGGTTGATCCACCACTCGTTCTTAATCTCTCGAAGCTTGCGCTGGAGGTTGCTGCAAGTGCAACGCTTGGCAGCTTTCCTCACGGGACAGGACGGCTGAGCCAGGTGAGCCTGGTGGGCTGATCTCTTCTTAGCCAGCAATTCCAGGATCTCCTTGTTGTGTTCGTCAAACCAGTCTTTGTTCTTTTTAGTGGTGAGCTCCAGGACGTCTTCTGATGTCTGCAGTAGGGCTCTGTCAAATGAAGCCAAAGTGAATCAGATGAGGGATCTTCTGGGCAGCCGTTGTTTTCAAGCTTGAACTGCAAGCACGTCTGGAATTCAGCTCTCACTACAACTGATTGTAGCCTACTGAGCTTGAACATTTTCTTTGGGGGCCCTCCCTTTCTTGTTTTAGGTTTGAAGTGAAGTCTGAGTTTGCAGCGCATGAGGCGATGGTCAGTGTCACATTCTGCGCTGGGCATCACTCTGGTGTGTAAGACGTCTTGGATGTCTCGTTGGCGCACTAGAACGTAGTCAATAAGGTGCTAGTGTTTGGACCGAGGATGCATCCAGGTTGTTTTCAGACTGCCCTTTTTTTTGGAAGATGGTGCTGGTGACGACAAGTCGCTGCTCCATGTAAAACTCTAGCAGCAAGCGCCCGTTTTCGTTGCAGTTACCAACGCCATGTTTTCCAAGCACTCCTTTCCAGGCAACAGCGTCTTGTCACACTCTGGCGTTGAAGTCGCCAAGGATTATCACCTTATCGTCTACGGAGGTGTTTCGAAGAACTCTGCGGAGCTCTGAGTAGAACTTGTCTTTTTCTGCAGGCACAGCTTGAAGAGTTGGGACATACACACTGAAGAGCGTGGCATAGATTTTGTTCTTCAGAGGGAGGCGCTTGGACATGATGCGGTTAGAATAGCCAGTTGGCAGGTTTTCAAACTTGGAAGCAATGGAGGTTCTAACCATGAAGCCGACGCCTGCGAGACGCCTTTCTGTTGCAGGTTTTCCTGAAAAGAAGAGGGTATATTCTGCGCCATGCTCCTGAAGGCTGCCTTCTTCGGGGAAGCGAATTTCGCTGAGGGCAGCAATGTCGACATCAAGCTTGGAGAGTTCATGTACAATCAAAGCAGAGCGACGTTCAGGTCTGTTGCTGTCAGCTTTGTCAAGCATGGTTCTGATGTTCCAACATGCCAGCTTCAGTGCTTTTGCACCCATACCGGTGGGTGCGTACGTTCCTTTCTTTGTTGTTGTTTGACCGCTAGTAAAGATACCAGTTGACCACGGCAAGCCAACTGGGGGGATGAGAAACGAGCTTTGGTTAGGCCACCTTTTCTAGGCCACTCTCCTTGTGGAGCAAGCAGTGCTGTCCCTAAAAAGGGCTGCTTGGTCGTTCGGGGTGCCTCCGAGTGATGTTGTCATCTCGGGTCAACGTCAAGCGACCAATATCCCGAACCGCCTGCATGCAGGATTGAGACTGCGACTTCCAGTGACATCTTTCACCTGCCGGTTTCGCCCCTTTCCCATCGCTACAGGACTTAGTAGAGTTGAAGGCGTCGCATACGTGAACGTATCCTTCAAGCCTGCGCAGATGAGTTTTAAGGTGATGTGCAGTGTACGAAGTACTGGCCCCACCCTTTACACCCGGCTTCATCTGTCATGGCCCAGCGAGCTGGGACGGTGACAGCGAGATCCACGGGTCGTAGGTTTTACATCATACTGTCCTTGTCCTAGCCTCTGGCTCAAAAACCTACCTCGGAGGCACGAGGACATGATGGCCGTTGAGCTCGTCGTGGAGCCCTTCCACCCACATATTCATCATAATACTGATGTTAACCCTAGTCTTTTGCCCATGTTATAAGTAGTTATTTCTAAATCTCGTAATGTTCTTCATTACTCCTCATTGTCCCTTCTAAAGGTTTATGCAAACTTACATTCCAACCAAAGGCATCCGGATACTGGACAGTTCATTTTGAGGCTGTTGAAGGTAAATTTGCTCTATGATGTTGATTTGTTTTTCAAAAGATGATTTTATGTTTGGTCATGACCATTTTCTTTCTCCTTGAAAATTTTTAGTAACCGAGGGTCCTCCTTTAGAGGTATGTTAACAATATACGTATGTCTTTATCTTGAACTTATAATCCTTAATCATAGGATTAAGTTTTATGTCATGTGAATAACTCTTACAAACCTTGGGATTATGTTTAAAATTGTGTGGCAAAATTTTTAATTGCGTAAGTGTAGATTGGAATTTTTCATTCACGGGCCCCATGAGACCTTATGTGTGTGAATGATCTTATGGTGGAAGATTATATACATTCTTCTTTGGGCTGAATGAGGTCAATCCTATGTCACGAATCTAAAGCCATGGATTGAATCTTAAATCCAGGGGATTTTATCTTCAATTAATTCAACAGTTTTTATGTTGTTTATTTTGTAGACTATTAAAATTACTTTAAATAAAGGAAACAAGGGAATGGGCGTCAGCATCGTAGCTGCTAAGGTGAACATCTTCAATTTCTTTACTTCTCTTCCCCCCCCCCCGCGGCTATCATTATGTTTGTAATGCCCCTAGTCTATCTCCCCCTGGCATTATCAGGCTGGTATTGGTCCCAAAATTCCCTTCTCCCTGCTCTTGATGGTTGTACAATCGTTGAAGGAGTATCATTCAAAACTATGTGTACCAACCTTAGTCTTCTCATTAGTAAAAATCCAGGAAAAAATAGTTAGTCCTGCATATCCAAAAAACGCATTATATTTCAGGGCGGCGGTCAGGGAAAATCTGGTATGTACGTTAAAGAGGTTATTGCCAATGGACCAGCTGCTGTGGTACGTAGATTGATGTTTTAGACATTTTTAAGAATTCTTTTATTGGACAAATTGATTTCATTTTTTTTTTGTTTTCTTTGTGTTTTAGGATGGTCGTTTGAGTCCCGGTGACTAAATCATTGAGGTTGACGGCGAATCCTTGGTTGGGATAGAACAAGAGGAGTATGTATTTTCATAGTTTTTAATTTTTAAGTGATGTCTTATGGAAAAATCGCGTTTTTTTTACGATACCTGAATAAATCCCAACATCGTGATGTTATTATTTACGTATAATATTAAGATATGAAAGAAACTAGAACTGTCTTTTGAAATATCAGCACAGTCTACAGTTGGTATTGTAGTTCAGTTGGCGGACATTGAAGGGAATGATTATCTTGTTACTATACCTGAGTACATCACAACAACGTGATGTTATTATCTATGATATTAAAGATATGAAAGAAACTAGAACTGTATTTTGAAATATCATCATAGTCTACAGTTGGTATTGTATTCAGTTGGCAGACATTGGAGAGAATGATTATCTTGTTACTATACCTGAGTACATTACAACAACGTGATGTTATTGTGTATGATATTGAAGTATGAAAGAAACTAGAACTGTGTTTTGAAATATCATCATAGTCCACAGTTGGTCTTGTAGTTCAGTTAATAGAACATTGAAGACAATAACACAATTTTGTTATTTATAATATGTTACGTACAAACAGAAGACTACAGTAGAAATCGCTACATCATCAACGTGGATTTTTCCTTATTTCTGTTTCTTTCGTTTTAAAGTGCTGTGAAGATTTTAATAAAATGTGGCTCCATCGTGAATTTGACAATTGCAAAAGGAGCTGCAGAGCGTCATGGTGTCGTGAAGATATTGAACGATGTTGAATCTGTCCAGAAATGTGTGAATTTTTTCCTCTTTAAAAACTTGATTTCATCCCTTAGAATGTGCCGATTATAAGGGAGAGGAGTGGTGGGTTGATTTGATATTTGATTGATTCAAATTCTAAATCATTCCCCAAGTTGTAACTGTTATCGAGAATGTGCTTCTCAAAATCATTGTTTTTTGTCACGCTATGGTAGATGCTGAAAAAAAGACAACCTCTCCAATCCCACTACCGCGATTGCGTCCTCAACAGGATGGTGGTCAGCGATCTCCTCCTAACAACACAAGCGTCAAAACTCAACAGGATGGTGGTCAGCGATCTCCTCCTCTCAACGCAAGCGTCCAAACATTTGAAGATCCAAATACACTAGGAAAACCTTTTAAACCTGAACCAAATAGACGAATTCCATACGAGAGAAACTCGTTAGACAATCCTGATCACAAAGTGAGAACTTACACATAATATTGTAATTTTGCATGAATTGACGATGGAACCCTTTCTCGTTCCAATTTTTTATTTAATACAGTACTACCAACACGTTGAAAAACACTTTGGTGCACGTTACATGCGAAATCAGGACTTAGTTTTGTTTCTGTCGTAGATACTTAGTCAACTTTTTATATTAAGGCTTCTTCAATGGCTGCGAAAGTGGAATATAAGTTCGAGAGTCCACCTACTGGTCGTAAACCTCCACTTGGGAAACCTGGTGTGCCATATGCCAATCCTTTAGAAATACAACAGAGACAAGAGCAACTGAGGATTGAAAGGGAACGACAAGAACAACTGAGGATTGAAAGGGAACGACAACAGCAACTGAAGATTGAAAGGGAACGACAAGAACAACTGACGATTGAAAAGGAACGACAAGAAAAACAGAGGATTGAGAGGGAACGACAAGAAAAACAGAGGATTGAAAGGGAACGACAAGATCAACAGAGGATTGAAAGGGAACGACAAGAACAACAGAAGATTGAAAGGGAACGACAAGACCAACAGAGGATTGAAAGGGAACGACAAGAAAAACAGAGGATTGAATGGGAACGACAGGAACAACAGCGGATTGAAAGAGAACGACGTGAGCAAGAACGTCTGAGAATGTTGGAGGAAAAACAGGAACGAGAGAAGATTGAGAGAAATCGACAGGATCGTATGCGGATTGAAAGAGAACAAGAACGCGCAAGGATTGAACGAGAAAATGAGCAAGCCCATGAACAATCGAAAATGTCCGAGTTGGACGAAATGACTCGTCGCGAACGAGAGCTTGAATTGCTGTTGGAAGAAAAACGACGCGAAAAAGCAAGACGCCTTCAAGAACTTCAAAGACAGATCCAGGAGGAAGAGGAAAGAGCGTTGAAAGAAGAGCAAGAGTTAAGAGAACGTCTCAAAAAAGAAAGAGAAGAGAGAAAAGAACCACAAAAAACACAGCGACCATCGGATGTTGGTACAACGAAAATGAACAGATATCAAGATGATTCTACTTCAAGAGTGATGAATAGACCCATTGACGTTGAACCATCACAAAGAAATCCCAGACCATCCAACACCCAAGTACATTATGTGCTACTTAATGATGATAATAGTACACAAAGATCCAATCGACTCCCCAGAGCGCCCACACCTGCTGAGGTCAAACGAGTTGGTTCACAGCCAGCTTATGGTAAAATACCAACCTCTCCTATTATGGATGGTAGAAGCAGTGATGTCCGTGTTGGTAGACCTGGGGACAACAACAAAGGAGGACCAATGACGGCTGAAGATAACAAGAGCACGTCGTCGTCGTCAAAGCGATCGTTTCCACCCAATCAGAAGCGTTTCTCACCACAAAATAGCCAGGATGATTCATTGGATATTGATCCTGCGGAAATTGAAAGGCAATTTCAAGAACGTTTGGCAAAAGAAGCAAACAGTAAGAATGGAACGGACAGCGTCGATGGAGGAATGGTACGAGTCATTCGGGTACCTGTTCAACAAGAAAACTGGGAAAAGCCGGTTGACGATAAACCGCGCGCCCGCGTGGACTGGCAACGATCAGAAGAGGAGAAAAACCGCAGGGAACAACAATGGCGTCGTGAAGCAGATGAGCAACTTGTTCGTGATTTTCAGCAAAACGAATCTTTTAGACAAAGTGTGAGCACTGTTGCCGAGCCTGTACATGTGAATCCAGTAGACAGGGAGAAAGAAGAAGAACTTCGGAGACAACGAGAAGAAGACGACCGTCTCCGAGAAGCAAGAGCCAATCAGCTGCGAAATCGTATTATTGAAGGTCCTGACGATGATGGTCTTGATTCGTCGTACACCAACGGACGAACCCGTCGTGTGAAGTTCGCCAGTGTTCGCACCGAGATCGTCCAACCATCGCCTGACGCTGAGCTCGCAACATCTGGAGTGAAATTTGTTCACGATGGGAAGGTTGAAGATAGTGATGATGACGGTAGTGAAGAATTTCCTTTGCCTCCACCTCCCGCGGATAAAGACAACAATTTCTCGCCCCTACCTCAAAATCAGGTTGACTATTACCAGAGACCTCCACCTCCACCCAAGCCTCAATTTTTGGTCAACAATGGCAGTGGCCCCCCAGCGGAATATAAAGGCGCTCCTAACTCGACAGTCTACAGAGACAATGGTCATGTAGCCCGCGCACGGGATAGAATGAGTGATAATGGGTATGCGACTTACCCAGGTCCCGCTCGCCTGCAGAATAACAACATTCATCCAGTACCTAAACCTAGAAGTTTGTCCAACGACATGGGGAAATCCCCAAATCCAGAAACCTCTTTCAAAGACAAAGTGAAAATGCTAAATGAAAATCTGGCAATCAAGCGACCCGATGGATCACAAATGGCACAAAACTGGATCAACAGGGACTCCTTATGAAAATGACATTATAGTTAAGTTTTTATCAAGAGTCGTATTTGTTGATATTTCTCTTTAGAATTATCACAACAGTGGCTTGGTGTCTGATATTGCGCAACATTGAAAATTATTTAGTGGAACGGTGATGTTTTAGTGAAGACTGATTTGGTCTTCCCGTGACATTACACCAGAAATCCAAAGCACTGTCCGCTTTCTGGTAACAAATCATTCATTTTATTCTTATTGGTTCTATATTTGATCAAACGTTCAATTAGTAACAGTTTTAGAGCTATCTCTTTAGAAACAACTGAAGGTTCACAAATTTCCATAAACTTTTTCAATGAAGTCTATGAACAACTCGAAAATGTTCACCAAAATATCGTCGTTTTTTTCACTGAAAAACAACGTCATCTTCTAGTAATTATTAACTTTTTAAAACATCTCGAAAAATGCAGAGAATTGATATTTTTACTTCATTTGACAGAAAGGTTTAAAGGAATAGATTTAGCTATAAGAAATCCAACTTTGATTATTTCTATTAATGTTATACATAACACGTATAGTTGAAAAGGTCTTCATATATGAGGTTCGTACGAAATAAACATTGTATCTTGCAAGCCTTCTTATATGAAGTTCCATCGTAGGGAAATATTTAGGCTTTTATTGTAACCAGTAGTTAGCACAAATCGATTTTTTGAACTTTTTCTTAAGTATAAACGTTAGGGACATAAAAATACAAGTCAGCCAATCGTTTCGATGGACTTCTTGCGTCAGGAAAAGTTTGGAAACAATTATTTACTTGTTTGCCCCATTTATGTAAGACAAAATGCTACATCGAAGTACGGAGGATGTGTAAAGCAAACTGACGTTGGTTTTTTTGAAACTTGGCTGACATGCATTATATCGATAATATATCATACACGAACAATGAGAATTGTATATAGTTTATATACGTGTATATTGTAATAACAAGAGTATTTCTTTAGACCAAACATCGTTGTGTTCATTTTTTAAAGCAAGGGACAGATCAGTGATTACCGTATAAGATCCTGTGGCCTGTTAAAAATTGTAACGGTTCAAGGAAAGGCGTTTATTCGTCTCAGGTGTTTAGTAGAGAGAAAGAAGTTTGTATTTGTATATCACCTTAAACGTGAACAAACGGAAAGAAAATTAAGATTTGTTTATTGAGATTAGATAATGAAGATTTTAAATATAAGAATTTTGACAATTCACACGCAGTTTCGAAATCAGCCTGTTTTTTCTACTATTGAAATATCTATGTTGGTATTGAATTAGTGAAAAAACACTAGACTTTTTGACGTTAGAGACTCTTGTTCACGACGAAGTCTCTCTTATAGTTTTACCAAGGGTAGATAAAGGGAGGGGGGTGAAATGTCTTAAGTCGGTAATTAAAAGGTAGAAGACGGAAGATAGAAGGTTAAGTGGCGGGCTTTTTCCATCAAATATTGATTCCAAAATGTCGACAGTCCGGCTTCCATGCCCCAAATTCTTTGAAATATGCGCCGCTTGCCACACGCATAAGTTGCAACACAAACAATCCCTTATTAACCTTTTAAGCTCATGATCAGAAACTCCAGATTTGGGCATCAAATTTTGGCAGGTTTAAAACTACCTTGAAGAGTTTCGCCTGCGCTGTAGTAAACCTTCATGACTTCACAGATTTTCGCCAAATTTCATGATCTTGTTTGTTCAACATTCTTTTGTTATTGACGTAAAGAACAATATTGAACGAAGTAAATTCATCTTCATATCATCATTGAACGTGTCAACTTCAACGTATTTTTAAATTCATCTTATGAATTTCAAATAAAACTAGATGTTACACCATACGAAATTTGAAAAATGTTAAATTGAAATCCATACATGAATTTTGGCACTATAATCTGCATGTATTTTTTCTTCAGCATAATTCATTTGTATTTGTTCATCGATATCCCAACCTATTTGTTGAAGGCTATGGTAGGATATTGTGCTGCTCATTTGATGCAAGCAGAAAGAAATTTGTTGAAGCCTTACCTAACAATATACTATTAGATTTAGATCCTCAGAAAGGTATGTAGAATAGATATTAAGCCTGCTTTCCACCAGCCACGTATCGTAACGTATCTTAGCAAAACGTAACATGGCGCATGCGTGCTTATGAATTTGATGGTCAATATGCACAAGCACGCATGCGCCATTTTACGTTTTGCTACAATACATTACGATACGTGGCTAGTGGAGACTGGAGAACAGGCTTAACTGAAATGAAATGATCAAAACAGGCCAAACAACATTTTTGTACTTGTCAGATATACCATATCCCAGTTGCATACACATATTAGCAATGGAAAAATATCTGGTTGTGTATGATGAAAATTTGATATTGAAGCTACAGATTTAGCGTTTTTTCAATCAGCGCCCAATATTGACCTAATGAAGCTGGTCGTGATCTGGTCTAGTAAATTCCCCCACTGTGGGACATACCATTGGAAGATACCATTGGACGACACCCCCCTTTCTCCTCCAGGTCTATATTGCCGGAAATCTTACGCCATAAATTCCCACGTGAAAATCGGGTGGAAGATAATTCGTTGTAGTTCAAGATGAATTTCCAATATTTAGAACTCTTCGTTTTCCTTTAAAATGGTCTTAACAAAATCGTATCTGCGTTACGTCGAAGCTGGAAACTTTGGCGTAGTGGGAAGTGCTAGAGCTAATTTGTGTCTTGTTCAAAGTGGCGAGAAAAGACGTGAAATTTGCCGCGCGATTGTTCCCGCACTAGAAAATGTATATATTTGGGACGCTAGACTTGGCGAAAAAGTATTTGAAGAGAATTGTTGAAACCTTTAATCAATGTTAGATTTCCACTATTTAAAAATTGTTTTTATGATATGCTTATCTAAATGTCTAGGTGAATGTCTTACAAGGTAACAAGAGCGAAGTGACATGTCTCTGCCTCAGTCCTGACTCTGAACATCTTGCTGTTGGGTGAGTAAAACAACTTATCTAATTAAATAATATAGCATTTCATTATGTCTTGTAACTGATGCCGGATATTTACTTCATTGTGGCTAATCAACACTTTCAACAGTAAAAGGTATGGTTGTAAGAAACACAAGGTCAGGCAGGGGAAGAGGCTCTGACCCCTTGCTTGTAAAAGCCAGATCCTGTACCTCCTAACATATAAAAGCCAGATCCTACCCTTTCCCCTTGTATCATGAAAGATCTTGATATCCAGGAAAAATATGTCAGTCAACCAGTACAGTATGTAATGTTAACAAAAATGAAAATCATTGGTGTACATTCCCCACGAGTCCCAAACTATTTTAATTTCTACATCTTTGTTAGACTAGATAAATTATATCCATTTGACAACAGGTAATAAAATTTGCTAATATAAAATAATTTTCTTTGCTTTTGAAAACTGAACAGCTTTTGATCTTAATGTATGTAATAAATTTGCAACTGCTTACAGGGAAAAGAATGTAAAGCTTAACCTGCATACATGCACCTCCACCTGCAGTTTTTTTTTAATTTTAGGTATGGCGATGGTGTCATCAGAATTTGGAATATAAATAATGGTACATCCTCAGTGACATTTAGGTACATTTCCTCTCATGGAATATATTTTTCAATAAATTTGTTCTATGCTCAACCATTTGTTTACCATCGGTACTTCTGATTTCCAGTTACAAAACAGTCCAAAACTCATTTCAAAAAATTCTTTGGTAAACAAACAGTTAATATAACTCAGCACGCTATTATAATATATGTGCTAGGCACATCAATCACAAATTTTCCAACTTCAAGACCCACAATGCAAGCAACAAGGTATAAGAAGTATCCTGGAGAGGGTTACAACTTGTACAGATGTTGCTGATGGTGCATTTTGCCCTATTTTGCCTTTTGTTTGCCATTGCAACTTCTGTGTTCCAATCACAAAGCAGTTCAAAATTCAATTGGGAAAATTTGCCAGTAAACAAGCTACTACTTGAAGCAGTGTGCAAATTAGTTCTAAAAAAATGATGTCCAATTTTTTTGACCAAAGTATTTCTTTAGAGGCATAATCAAATCGATATTACGTTATTTATTATATATGTGTATAGCGCTAATTGCTAAATTAATATTTTCAAACGTGAACAAATTCATATGATTTAGTGTTTTTTTTAAAGCCGCTGATTTTTGCACATCGTTTGAAAAAGTGATGTGCAATTGTTTTCATTTTAGCTAAAACAATGCGAAAATTGCACATTGCACACTGTTAATTCGCACACTGACTTGAAGACATTTTTACACGCTCTCAAACAAAAGAAACATGGAAAGTTTTCAAATTTCAGTATACAAAGTCAATAAGAGATAATTGAACCTTAAAGGCCTTGTAAATTTGCATGGAAACTTCTGAAACTATAAGAATAGTCAATACAACCAGTGTCGTCCCTAAAAATATAATATCAAGCAGTGATGTAGTCAATGTTGCACTGTTGCATTACTGTGGAGTGAAGGGTAGACTTGTGTTTTAGTGTAAAAATTATAAATTCTGGTGAATGGATGTGTATCAGCACTAATGTTTTCAAAGATGCCAAAGCAATCATCTTCATTAGGCATTTTCTATTCTTGCCATATCTTGAATGAAACATTAAAAAATTATTTCATCTTTTGTTTCATTGAATTTCTTCTAAAGTAAATGGTTTGAACCGGAGATATCGTTACATGTTTGCAAATGTAGATCGTCCAGGTTGGTATAGTCCTGAGAAGTCCTATAGAACAACAAAACAGTCCTTCTCAGGACTATACCAACCTGGACGATCTACTTCTAACATGAATTTCTTCTAGTGGTCACAAGACAGCAGTTACAGCTCTTAACTATGATTATACTGGTGTCAAATTGGTGTCTGGATCAAAGGTATTCTTTAATCGTGATTTTTATGACACTTAAATCAATTGCCATAAATTGTGAAGTATAGTTTATAAAATGTGAACAATTCATTTGTGTTGTTTTCTGCCACACTATAGGATACAGATGTGATTGTTTGGGATATAATTAATGACTCAGGAATGTTCAGGTACAATTATGATCATTTAATGTTATACGAGAAGTCTTTTGAAATAAACATGTTTCAACGTCTTATGATGCCATCTTCAGTGTAATAAAGAGTATTATGTATGTGATGAATATAAATAAGATTAATATGATACAGTGATACAATTTATACAATTATGAGTAGATTATATATAAATATTACAATGAAATATTGATTAGAATAAATGATGAGTGTATTTATATGAAGGTGTCATCATGAGATGTTGAAACATTTTTCCTTTAAAAAAACTTGTGGTATTCATTAAATGTGCATTATCAATACTGCTTTTACGCAGTTATGATTATGTTGATATTTCAAAGTAAGGTATTTCTCTTTACATGTTTTTTATGTTATTGACTTTCTAAAAGTGTTGGAGGTATAAGTTACTAACTGAGAGTGGGGAGTATGACTTACAAACTGAGAGTGGGGAGTATGACTTACTAAATAAAAGTGGGAGTATGACTTACTAAATAAAAGTGGGAGTATAACTTACAAACTGAGAGGTGAGAGTATGACTTACTAAATAAAAGTGGGAGTATAACTTACAAACTGAGAGGTGGGGAGTATGACTTACTAAATAAAAGTGGAAGTATGACTTACTAAATAAAAGTGGGAGTATGACTTACAAACTGAGAGGTGAGAGTATGACTTACTAAATAAAAGTGGGAGTATAACTTACAAACTGAGAGGTGGGAGTATGACTTACTAAATAAAAGTGGAAGTATGACTTACTAAATAAAAGTGGGAGTATGACTTACAAACTGAGAGGTGGGGAGTATGACTTACTAAATAAAAAATAAAAGTGGAAGTATGACTTACAAACTGAGAGGTGGGGAGTATGACTTACCACATAAAAGTGGGAGTATGACTTACAAACTGAAGCTGGGGAGTATGACTTACTTAATATAAGTGGGAGTATGACTTACAAACTGGGGTGGGGAGTATGACTTACAAACTGAGAGTGGGAGTATGACTTACTAAATAAAAGTGGGAGTATGACTTACAAACTGGGGGTGGGGAGTATGACTTACAAACTGAGAGTGGGGAGTATGACTTACTAAATAAAATTGGGAGTATGACTTACTAAATAAAAGTCAGGTATGGCTTTCTAAATACTTATGAACTGAGTGTATGGGTATGACGTACTGACTTACAGTGAAATGTTTGAACTAAGGTCTTGCCTCCTGCATACATACTGTATGTATGTTGTAAAGCTTAGAAGCTATGTATCATATGACAGAAATGTCAAAGTTAGCGAGTTCTTTATTATATAGTAATGTTTGTTAAGAAAGAGATAAATGATGTGTATGTATGTATGACCACAATGTTCTTAAATTTGTTATTTCTTCAGACTTAAAGGTCATAAAGGAATGGTGACTTGTTGTCGGTTTCTTCATTTTCAAAATGTTCTTATAACTAGGTAAATGTAGAAGATCTATTTTCATCTTAAATGGCTTTGCTAGTTTATGTTTAATGGTTTTGTCTTTCCTAGTTCCAAAGACACTTTCGTGAAATTTTGGGATCTTGATTCACAGCATTGTTTTCTTACCTTGGTTGGTCATAAAACAGAGGTGAATGAAACCTATGAATTTGTTGTTATGATAGGATGTAGGAGTTGTCTACTCTTCACTCTCCGTAAAAGAATAAGGATGAATACTTGGCTAGAAACAGGGATTTAGGAACAGTAATAAAGTCACTGTAATGTACATTTTTTTAAGGTTTGGGGCTTTGTCGTCGTCAAGAATGAAACAAGGTTAATTACTGGTTGTGCTGATAGTGAATTGAGAGTTTGGAAAATTCAGTACAAAGATGATAGAACAGAAAGACGCGAAGAAACGAGAAAACGAAAGACAGCAACGCAATCTAGCGAGGATGATGTAGGGGAAATAGAGGTACATAAGAGGTGTTTGTTGGTCATTTCTCTTCGCTGTCTTGCATGATGCATGAGAGATAATAATGGATGCTACTTAAATTTAGGAAACCAAAGGGAAAATAAGCGTTTTTGAGATCTTAAGTCACAATTAGTGTATGAGGTAGTATTAGGAATGTTGATGGATATTTGTGAGGTAAATTAGGACTATTGGTGAATATTTGTGAGGTATACAGTATTAGGAATGTTGGTTGGTATTTGTGCATAGGATTGTTGTCGATTTTTGTGAATATTACTATGTTAAGTTAAACTAATAAAATCTCTAATAAACTTTGTGTTTATAATTTGGCCATCTGCATTAGACCTGTCACCACTGCATCAAGCATTTAGTCTAGTGTTAAATTCATAAATAAGCATTTAGTTCTAGTTTCAACTCGGATTTTAACTTCTATATTTCGAATTTCAATAGGAATTGCTTTCGTGTACAATGATTGGCTCTGTCATGAGAAGCTCAACTGATCGCGTAGTGTCGCTGTATTGCGATCTTTCACGAACTTATATTGGTTGTCATGTACGTACGTTATGTAAGAAGTTTTTATGTGGGATTTGGATTGTAAAAAATTGTTATGGAGATGATGAACATTATGTGGCTACTGCTCAGCTTTATGTTACAACCTAGTATCAACTATAAATGGCTTTTCTGATTGGATTAATCAAACATCAATGATAAACATTAAGTTTTCGTTCTTTATAATTCTATAGCTTATTGTATTTCATTGTACTATTTAAAACCCTAGACAATAGCAACGCACAGCTTTCTAAGAAGTGGGTTTGGTAGTCAGTTATGGAAAAGAAAATATTTAATTTAAATATCAATTTTGCTTCGGTCACCGAGAGTCGTGTTGACATCGTGAGGAAATATTCATTATAAAAGCAACTGTCTGAGTAATTTTCGTGCAATTTTTACAAACCCAGCAGAAATTCTTGCAGTAGCAAATATTGCTCAGTTTTCAATGGAAAAACTCCATTCTAATGTCGACCATAGATTGTCATTATTCATTTCATGATAACCAAGTTGAGAATGTAGTATTTTACGTATGTCAAAAACATTCACGGTTATGAATGATTTTTACAAAATATAATCAATATTTATTATTTCACGAGAGGACTAAAGAAAAGATGTGGTTATGTGAAGATAATTTTTATTTATTTAGGGTGCTAATTCTACGTTAGAAATGTTTCGTCTTGCATCAGAAGACGAATTAAAAAAACGCTTGGCAAAAAGACGAAAAAAGATTTTAAAGAAGCAAAGGTTGTTGAAATTTTAAAACTGTATTCAAGCTTTTTTATTCTCATACATGTGATATTTTTTACCATTATTTATTCCTAGATCACAAGGATTGGAAGCCGACGAGCTGACGGTTAGATAATTTTTGTTACGTGAAATTTATGTGCAAAGAATTTTGACGAATCAAAATATACGTAGTTTACGCTAAGACATCACAATCTTGCCTCGTTTCTGTAACATTGTGATAATTCTCTTTATTTGTGAATACTTCTTATATATATTATGTCAAAATCCTGGAGCATATTTGATTTTGTTGCTTGAAATGAAATAGATTTTGAAAATGTAGAAACAGAAGTGCGAAGGAAAGAATCAGATATGCGTTGTTCCAACATTTTAATTGTGTATTTACGCACTATTTGTCCTTTTTTTGAAACATGTTTTAACATTACTTTTATTTTATCAGGTTTCTGAAAACGTCTTAGCCACCGTCGAAGACGAGATTATAAAATTACCCGATGTTAAAGCGACCTCAAAGATAAGGTAAAATGATGTATGGAGTACAAACATTGTAATTCGCTTCTGGAAGTCAAGCGTTTTGTGTGAGAGAGAGAATTTTTCTAGACGTGCTTTTCTCAGCGGAAGTTTTTTCTTAAATATAACACAGACAAAGTTTATCGTTATTTGAAATTAATCAATGTTGTTTTAACACTTTCATAAATGCAATATTTTTAAGCCGTTTTACAATGTCAGTTTCAAAAATTGCTTGTTCAAGATGGCGGAATAAAAAAGTTATTTTAAACCATTTTTATGATTGAATAGTCATTTCTAGTCCTCCTCGTACATATGTACGTACGTCGTTCATTCACTTGTTTTGCTTTCCCGCCATTATAAAATACAAACATTGTTTTTTTCTTATTAGGTCATTTGACTTTGCATTGAATTCAAATAATGATCTAAAGGTATCTCATTATTTTTGTCCGCGATTTTATTTTTTATATTTGAGAACTATGGATGTGTTAAATTGATGTTTCTGTATAATTCCAACTGTTGTCAAATAGTCATTTTGAACGATGAGAAATAGTCTTTCGTCATTTTTTATCATCTTATTTGATTGTACATGTAAAGAATGCGTAGTATACTGGATAGTATGGAATTAGTTGCATCCACTTGAAATAAGAAGTTTTTTAAATTTCTACAGATTTCATTATTACTACACAACAACAGCGTAGAGTTTCATGTCTTCAGTGAAGAAAAGAAAGATTCAATTAATATACTTTCCATAAAGACACCTGGTCATCGTAGTGATGTAAGGTATGTGGCTACGTAGATCTCAATTAACCTGGAATGTGATGACAATAAGTTAAAGTCTTAAATCTTACGTGCCTTTTGAAGCGTCATACTGCAAGAGCTCACTTCATCTGATTGATCTCTAGCTTTCTTACTTTAGGACTTTGTCATTCAATTCCGACGATTCCTGCATCCTCTCTGGCGCAGCTGAAAGTGTTAAATTGTGGAACAGGTACAATAAACAGATTTTTTAAAGTTGTGTATGTGTATTTGCTTGCAATTTCTTTAACTAAAACATACAATAATGCATATTTTTAATTTTTATCAAGTTGTACCAACAGGATAATCATTCCTTCTTTTAGGGGAATAAGGTGCGAGTAATTTCAAATTGGGTGGGGAGGTGAAAAAAGTCAAAGTTTACTAAAAAAAAACCATTATGCAAGGATTAAAATAGCATCCTGAAGGATGTAAAATTACCGTAACACACTTGCGTACTCTTCACTATCATTGTTTGTGGGTCGAAAGAGTGACTTTGTCTATGTCAGCCTGTGACGATATTTCTAACAAATTTATAGATCGACTCAGAAATGCATCAGAACAATGTCTTCTGGTTATTGTCTAAGTTCGCTTTTTGTACCTGGTGACAGACACGTCATTGTTGGTACTAAGGTATTCAGCATTAGTGAATGTGACTTTATAAAGTAGTGAGACAATGTAAGGTCATGTGACAGACACGTTGTTGTTGGTACTAAGGTATTCAGGATTAGTGAATGTGACTTTATAAAGTAGTGAGACAATGTAAGGTCATGTGACAGACACGTTGTTGTTGGTACTAAGGTATTCAGCATTAGTGAATGTGACTTTATAAAGTAGTGAGACAATGTAAGGTCATGTGACAGACACGTTGTTGTTGGTACTAAGGTATTCAGGATTAATGAATATGACTTTATAAAGTAGTGAGACAATGTAAGATGTTAACCCTCTAAATTTCCTTTACAGGCTGGCAAACTCCAAATATTTGACGTTTCGTCTGGTTCATTGCTTGAAACTGTGGACGCACACGATGGTGCTATTTGGTCGTTGTGTTTAGCTCCCGATAATGTAAGGGACTTTACTTCATTTTAAAAACATATTTTTGGTCCAGTCGTTGGAAAGTAACATTTTTGACAAAATTTATGGACTGCCATGCCCTTCTTAATATGCTTTCTTTCGATTATTTCTCTAACAGAAATAGCAGCGATCTTTTTGTCGGCAAACTTAAGCTATTCTGCTGCTTGTCATTTTGTAACTTCTTAAAGAGACAAGTGACGTATGCCTCACTTCTCCCCCCCCGTCCTCATATATTCCCTTCTTTCAGTGAATCGTTCAGAGGGAGCTCAAGACTACGCACATCTAGAAATGATGGTTTTATCAATTTCTAGACGCTATTTGCCTCAGGAAGTGGTGACAAGGATGTAAAATTTTGGGAATTTGATTTGATTACGGATGAGAACTATTCAACGACAAGGTATCAAATAGTTTCCATGTAAAGCAACGTTTGCACTCAACGTGATTTTTCTCACTTTTTTAACATTGTAAGACGAAAAATGTCCATTGTCTGTTGGAGAAAAAACAACTTCATGTACTAATTCTGTTGAAGCTTGTGTTCTAAAGTTTTTTCTCTTGTTTTTCTTGTGCATTTTATGATGTTTGTAAAGAAAAGTGGTTAAATGTGACCATCCGCTTTTTGTTTGTTCAAACTCAGCTTAACATTTTCTAATTTTATGATTCAGTATTGTCTAATTGGTTTATGTATTTTGTTGTACAATTGGGTGATTCATTTTGTATTTTTTTGTTTAGTCAAAGATTAAGTATTTGTCATGCGCGAACATTAAAGATGAATGATGACGTAATGTGTGTAAAGTTCAGGTTAGTTGTTGATATATTCGCCTGTGGGGGTGGGGAGGGTATACCTACTTATGATCTTTCATTTAATCGCGTGCCAAAATTTGTTGCAGTCCAAATCAAAAGTTTATTGCCGTGGCTTTGCTTGATTTTACAATGAAAATTTTCTTCACTGATACATTGAAGGTAAGTTATTAAATATTTTTGTACGTAGTTGATGATATTGGATAGCAGTTGATGATAATGGATAGCAGTTGATGATATTGGATAGCAGTTGATAATATTGGATAGCAGTTGATGGTATTGGATAGCAGTTGTCAGAATATTTTCATTTATTGCTTTAGATCACTTTAAAGTAGACTCCTTGTACGAAATTCTCCCATTTTTTTTTCTATGAATCACGATAAAAATGCACTTTGAGTTAGAACTGTTTCCTTTTCCTATAAAGAATTCACTAAAAAATCAACTCTTGTAAAAAGAAGGCGATATTTTTGACTTTAAGCTAGTTACGTAACATTGGATTAATGTATGCTTTCCATCAACGTTATAATTTGATTTACAGAAGTGTCAAAAATTTAACTGAATAAACATTTTCCTGTCCATTTATCCTAATTACTTTTGTATTCATTCTATAAATGTGGTTACTTTTCTCGCGTCGTTATTTAGTTCTTCCTATCCCTCTATGGTCATAAATTACCAGTTGTTACCATGGATATATCAACGGTACGTTTTATTCATATGACATGTGTTTCAAAGTGTCAACGTTTGACTGTCGTATTTGATAGCAGTGGATTGTGTTTGTGAGAAGAATCCTTAGCCTACGTCATACATTTTGTTATACGTCACATCCGTTTTAGCTGTCGCAGCTAAAATTATGCTGTTTTTTTCAAGCTCACAGAACGGCTTCCAACTCCTTTTTGATATCATGTTTTATAATATGTTTTTATTTTGGTTGAAAGAACTTTACCACATAAAATACAAGAAAAATACGTATACACAAAGATACATTACCAAGCTGTAAATAAGTCATTTCGCAATAGCTTTTCGAATTAGATATTTTCGAAATAAAATTACAAAGTGAATCAATTTTAAATAATGCATTAATAATTTATGCGCCAGTTCAAAAGAATGTAAATTTTGCTGGGTAAGCTTTTCTTCAATGTTGCTTTAAACCCAAACGAGGAAGTTTAGGTTTGTGACGTAAACTAAGGAATTATAAAATGAACGATGATTATGACAATGTAATGAAATTATTAATGTCAACTACGTATGACCATGTAATTTTTACCAATCCTCTGTTGTGAAAGTGTAGAGCGTGTAGCGGTCCATCTCTTGACCACTTTGTATTAGTGAACGCTTTTCAATGGCGTCGTTATTTATTTTTGAAACTTTTCTCTGTCTTTGGATTCGTATTTTTGTTATCCTTGATTCATTTTTTACAGGATAACGTTCTCCTTGTTTCTGGTGGCGTTGACAAGAACATTAAGATTTGGGGTTTGGATTTTGGTCATTGTCGCAAATCAATATTCGCCCATGATGACAGGTACGCACAATGTAATTTTAAATGATAGATACGCAATTTTATGATGGTAATATATGATAGCCTGAAACAGTCGATTATATCCTTACAATACACTCTTATCCTATTGGCATCGTCATTATACCCTATTTAACCCTCTTACCCTGATTACATAATTGTTTTTTCATCACCATACCTTGTACGTCTATAACATACTAGTAAACCACGTCCTCAATTGTTTTATAAGTAGATTTCCTGCATATTTTTTACCCGCATGTTATCAACATTACACCCTACAATACCTACATGTACTTTCATTGTATACTTTATATTCTCATGGTATCCATATTAAACTTCCTAATACCTACATGTACTTTCATTGTATACTTTACATTCTCATGTTATCTATATTACACTTCCTAATACCTACATGTACTTTCATTATGTACCTTATATTCTCATGATATCAACATTACACCTAGTAATACCTACATGTATATTCGCTATTTATATTGTAACAGCTTTAATCTTCTTTTAGTGTCATGGCCGTGCAGTTCGTGCCAAAAACTCATTATTTCTTCAGTGCAAGTAAAGATAAAACGATAAAATATTGGGACGCTGACAGATTTCTTCATGTTACGACCTTAGAAGGTCATCATTCAGAAATATGGAGTCTTGCAATCAGCCATGACGGCGAGTTTGTTGTAAGTGTCAAGTATGTAAGGTTTTAGATAATGGCGAGTTTGTTGTAAGTGTCAAGTATGGAAGGTTTTAGATAATGTGGAGTTTGTTGTAAGTGTCAAGTATGGAATGTTTTAGATAATGTCGAGTTTGTTGTAAGTGTCAAGTATGTAAGGTTTTAGATAATGTCAAGTTTGTTGTAAGTGTCAAGTATGGAATGTTTTAGATAATGGCGAGTTTGTTGTAAGTGTCAAGTATGTAGGTTTTAGATAATGTCGAGTTTGTTGTAAGTGTCAAGTATGTAAGTTTTAGATAATGGCGAGTTTGTTGTAAGTGTCAAGTATGGAATGTTTTAGATAATGTCGAGTTTGTTGTAAGTGTCAAGTATGTAAGGTTTTAGATAATGTCGAGTTTGTTGTAAGTGTCAAGTATGGAAGGTTTTAGATAATGTCGAGTTTGTTGTAAGTGTCAAGTATGGAAGGTTTTAGATTATGTCAAGTTTGTTGTAAGTGTCAAGTATGGAATGTTTTAGATAATGTCGAGTTTGTTGTAAGTGTCAAGTATGGAAGGTTGTAGATAATGTCGAAGTTTGTTGTAAGTGTCAAGTATGGAAGGTTTTAGATAATGTGGGAGTTTGTTGTAAGTGTCAAGTATGGAAGGTTTTGGATAATGTCGAGTTTGTTGTAAGTGTCAAGTATGGAAGGTTTTGGATAATGTCGAGTTTGTTGTAAGTGTCAAGTATGGAAGATTTTGGATAAACTCGAGTTTGTTGTAAGTGTCAAGTATGGAAGGTTTTGGATAATGTCGAGTTTGTTGTAAATGTCAAGTATGGAAGGTTTTGGATAATGTCGAGTTTGTTGTAAGTGTCAAGTATGGAAGGTTTTAGATAATGTCGAGTTTGTTGTAGTGCCAAGTATGGAGGGTTTTGGATAATGTCGAGTTTGTTGTAATTGTCAAGTATGGAAGGTTTTAGATAATGTCGAGTTTGTTGTAAATGTCAAGTATGGAAAGTTTTAGATAATGTCGAGTTTGTTGTAAGTGTCAAGTATGGAAGGTTTTAGATAATGTCGAGTTTGTTGTAAGTGTCAAGTATGAAGGTTTTAGATAATGGCGACTTTGTTGTAAGTGTCAGTATGGAAGGTTTTAGATAATGTTTAACATAAGTTTACTTGATATGAATTAAAGTGTCAAGTGTGGAAGGTTTTGGATAATGTTAAACATAAGTTTACTTGATATGAATTAAAGTGTCAAGTATGGAAGGTTTTAGATAATGTTAAACATAAGTTTACTTGATATGAATTAAAGTCATAAGTAAGGTTTTAGATAATGTTAAACATAAGTTTACTTGATATGAATTAAAGTGTCAAGTATGGAAGGTTTTAGATAATGTTAAACATAAGTTTACTTGATATGAATTAAAGTGTCAAGTATGGAAGGTTTTAGATAATGTTAAACATAAGTTTGCTTGATATGAATGAAAGTGTTAAGTATGGAAGGTTTTAGATAATGTTAAACATAAGTTTGCTTGATATGAATGAAAGTGTCAAATATGGAAGTTTTAGATAATGTTAAACATGAGTTTGCTTGATATGAATGAAAGAATCAACGAAAATCGTTGTTATCAATAGGAGTACAATTTACTCAAAGATCAACCCTTATTCTTATCACTCCAGTTCAACATGCATTGTATTTCATCTTATAGATCAGTGGGTCACATGATAAATCGTTTAGACTCTGGGAACGAACGGACGAACCGTTGTTTGTCGAGGAGGAGAAATGGTACTATACATAGATCTGTTGCTGGAGCTGCAAAATATGCATATAGTACCTGTACTTTCAATGTTTATTGTAATTTTTCTAATTAGGAGAGGAAGCAGCTTACGAAGAAGGCACCGTAACAGGAGTTGAAACAATTATAAGATTCTTTTACTATGTAACATGAGATACGTATGTTCCAACTTGAGCCCAACTAGTCTGTATTTGTTATATACTTTCACTATGGAAATATCTTGTGGAAGTTGCATTTATTGCACTAAATAAATTCATTTATTTAAACCATGATGTTGTTTCGATTCCAGGTGAACAAGACACAGAAGCTGTTAAAGCTGGCAAGAAAACTATCGAAACGTCAAAGGAGTTAGTTTGTTGTTGTATTAGCATTGCAAGTTAATTTTAATGGTTTTGTACCCAGTCCCCCCTGTAGTACCTAAAAGATACCTCAAAATTATACAGATATATCGAAAACTGTAGTACACCAAAGACATGTGAAGACTGTGCATATATGAGGCCAAGTGTTTAAGCTTACATTGAGACGTGGTACTTTGAGGATATTATAGTAGAATATAGATACTTGGAAGATAATACAGTATGATAGGGATATTTGGAGGATATTACAGTATAATATATAATATACGTCTGGAGGTTACTATGTTGATGTTTGTTCTCTTATCTTTTCATTAGGCTGAAAGAATCATGGAGGCCATTGAATTGTATAAGGAAGAAAGACAGAAAGAACTTGAACATAAAGCGAGTCAAGTGACAAAGACAAAACGGTAGGTTTGTTATTTCTTGCTCTCACATCTACAAAATGTTTATGTTATACGTATAGACAATCTTAAATCTTAAATGAAAGGTTTGTTATTTCTTGCTCTGCACATCAACAAAATGTTTATGTTGTACTTATAGACAATCTTAAATCTTAAATAAAAGGTTTGTTTTTCTTGCTCTGCTCATCTACAAAATGTGTATGTTATACGTATAGACAACCTTAAATCTTAAATGAAAGGTTTGTTATTTCTTGCTCTGCATATCTACAAAATGTTTATGTTATACGTCTAGACAATCTTAAATGAAAGGTTTGTTATTTTTGTCTATCATCTACAAAATGTTTATGTTATACGTATAGACAACCTTAAATCTTAAATGAAAGGTTTGTTATTTCTTGCTCTGTACATCTACAAAATGTTTATGTTATACGTCTAGACAATCTTAAATCTTAAATGAAAGGTTTGTTATTTCTTTGCTCTGCTCATCTACAAAATGTTTATGTTGTACGTGTAGACAATCTTAAATCTTAAATGAAAGGTTTGTTATTTCTTGCTCTGCTCATCTACAAAATGTTTATGTTGTACGTATAGACAATCTTAAATCTTAAATGAAAGGTTTGTTATTTCTTGCTCTGCTCATCTACAAAATGTTTATGTTGTACGTATAGACAATCTTAAATCTTAAATGAAAGGTTTGTTATTTCTTGCTCTGCTCATCTACAAAATGTTTATGTTATACGTATAAAGCAATCTGTCTTAAATGAAAGGTTTGTTATTTCTTGCTCTGCACATCTACAAAATGTTTATGTTATACGTATAGACAATCTTAAATCTTAAATGAAAAGTTTATTCTTGCTCTGCACATCTACAAAATGTTTCTGTTATACGTATAGACAATCTTAAATCTTAAATAAAAAGGTTTGTTATTTCTTCTCTGCAAATCTACAAAATGTTTATGTTATACGTATAGACAATCTTAAATCTTAAATGAACAATTTTAAATAACCATGACCGGCAACATCACAAAACTTTCTAGACTAAACACCTTAATTGGGACAACGCCCTACACTGTTATAAAACCCTACCTGTGAAACCACCACCAATATTTTTCCTACTCTCTAATGGACCACGCCCTACATCGTTATTTAATCCTACCCATGAAACCACCAATATGTTTTCTTACTCTTTAATTGAGACCCAGTACACACACTGTTATTAAACCCTACCTGTGAAACCACCACCAATATTTTCTAACTCTCTAATTTGGACCACGCCCTACATCGTTATTTAATCCTACCCATGAAACCACAATAATATTTTCTTACTCTTTAATTGGGGCAATGCACTACACTGTTATTAAACCCTACCTGTGAAACCACCACAATATTTTCTAACTCTCTAATTTGGACCACGCCCTACATCGTTATTTAATCCTACCAATGAAACCACCAATAATATTTTCTTACTCTTTAATTGGGGCAATGCCCTACACTGTTATTAAACCCTACCTGAGGCTCCTGCCAATATTTTCTTACTCTCTAATGGGACCACGCCCTGCATCGTTCTTTAACCCTACCCTTAGAAACCTCAATGCATATTTTCATTACTCTAATAGGGGCAACGCCCTTCACTGTTATTCAACCCTACCTGTGAAACCACCATAATATTTTCTTATTCTCTAATTGGGACACATACCATCGTTATTTAACCCTACCCATGAAACCACCTGTAATATTTTCGTACTCTCTAATTGGGACAACGCCCTACATAGTTATTAAACTCTACTAATGAAACCAACATTATTTTCATGCTGTCTAATTGGGACCAAGCTCTGCATGACCTACCCATTAAACTACCACCAATTTCCACACTCTCTATTGGAACCACGCCCTTCACCCTTCACTATTGTCACATTTATACAGAAAATCCCAGTTTCGTTTTACACAAGTTTTATTGTTCTCACATACATTTTTTCTTTTGAACAGCTTCCAAAGCGCGTCATTCATCCGATTCTTGCTGCCTTTGGTAATGTCAGTGTAAGTTTACTATATCTTCAATGTTTCCATTTAAGAACAACATGAAGGCCACGTGGTAGAAGGTGAAAGCCACGTGCATGTTGAACATGATTAATGTAGATATTAATGTAATGGTAAGATTCAAGATTTACATACGTACGGACTTAGATAAAAGGAAAAATGGATGAGATGGCACATATTTATAGCAACTCTAGAAAAAATGAGAGTTAAACGTAAAATACACAGGGTTTGTTATAATGAAATAAAATATCTTGAGCACGAAGATGGAGGCCATAAATATTGTTGTTCTACGATTGAATGCCTGTCTATGTCAACCTCCTTTTCCCGGACCATATACTTACGACGTTTGTAAAATATTTTTTCTTTTCACAGCCTGTACAGTATGTACTTCTAGTGGTGAAAAATAAAGTCAAGGTAAGGTTGAAGTATTATAAAGGCAGCAAATTATCCCGTGAAGAATCGTTGTTTGTACTAAAAGTTAATTTTGAACATTTAAAAGTAAAGAGTATGGAAAATGTCATTACTGAAGGAATTAAATATTAAGTGTTATTAGAATACAGTAGAGAGGTATCTTATGAAGCAAGTGTTTTCTACAAAACATTTCAATTATTTAATTTCAGCGAACTTGAAGAATCATTACTTGTGTTACCTTTTGACTATGTTATTGATGTACTTCAAACTTCTTCTTGAGTGGATTAGGGTAAAAAGTGAAATGTATTTTGACTTCTGTGTCCTTAGTCACATGGTACAGGTTTCGTTTTCGAATTTTGCTCATCCCAGATGTACGTGATTGTTTAGAATGGTTGGGAAACAGAGTTAAGTTTCGATGTCTGTTCTTTCTGCTTCGGTAGATTAAGACCTAATAGTGTATTTTGGTTTCGATCGATATTTTTCAATCCATCAGTATTTCTTAATATATGATACAATTGGTGAGATACCTAGGTACAGTGCTGGATACTTTTTGATTTTTTTTTTTTCATATTTTTGTTACGATAGAATACATCACTTAACAAGATCATATCCACTCCTGAACTACTGCCAGTAATAGACTCTATCAGATCATATTGTCATAGCCGAATTCGCGAAATGAAGGTAGGAAGTTGCAAGTTCAATAAACTGCAAGTATCGCCAAATTTCTCTCGTAATTTTACAATGCGCTAAACGACCGTTAATTTATTCGTGTTAAATTTTGTCGACACTTTAACGACTGTAAACTAAACATGAAAAAGTCGTCAATTCTGATTGGTTAAAAGAGCAATTAAGGCTTTTCTTTCACAACACAGTGCCAATCTTAATACTGAGTTTGGCTTTATCTTAAAAAGGTTCATAGAATATTCTGGGGACAAGTAGCAAGGCTTCACGTGCCGTCCCTGATTTCGACTGATTGCTACAACACCCGCAACACTTCCAAACTTCCAGCCCGAGTTTGGATCGCCCTGGCGCGAAAAGATATAATGATGATGATAGAATATTCTTTTGTGTATTAACAACAGAAAAAAATATGTATTTAGAAACAAAAATATTTAAAAATTAAGAAGATTTCTTTTTCTCTAGTTCTTTAAAATTTGCTAAATTAATCGTCTTGAGTTTTTTGGAGTTTGTATTTCAAACTACGGATGACTTTTTTAAATTATGAACTGAACAAAATGACTTTTCAAAATCATTTGAACTAAACAAAAGACTTTTTTAAATTATATAAGACTGAACAAATGACTTTCAAATCATTTGAACTAAACAAATAAACTTTACAAATTATTTCAACTGAATAAATTTTCTTGAATTTTTACATCGACGCCGATAAAACTATTGCACACATGTAATGATTGCTTTATTTCAGGATACTGTTGGATTCAATTTGGCGGGACTACAGTTTATTCAAGACAGCTTGAGAATCGTGACGTCACATTCTTTGGCGAAACGCGAGAGACTGGGACAAATACAGAAAAAAGAAAGAAGACGATTGTGAGGAAATTTCGGTGAAGGTTGTTTGTTTTGATACTTTGACAACTAATGATTGTCTTCGAAATTACTTATAATGCGCGGTTGATTTCTGCCTATAGCCATCCTCGAAGATCCCTAACTCAAACTCTACCCGGACACGTAAAATCCTTATTGCCCTTTAAATTACAATTTTCGTGATCAGCAGACGTTTAAATTTTGCATGATTCAGCAGTTATTGATACTGGATTAGACTTAAAAGCTATAGAAAG